GTATCAAACATCAACAAACAGGGTGTCCGTCCGCAGCAAAGTGTGTCATAAATGTTGTTTACCAAAAAGAATGCTGATTTTTGGTATTCACACATCAGTCGTCTGAGTACTCCACCACTGCACTGTCAGCTTTATTTTGGTATATGTAAATAACAAGTGTTTTTTCCAAAATAATGCCGATTCTTGGTATAGCTCAGCACGTCAGTAGTCTGAGTATTTTACCAACTGTTAATTTTGGCTTTGTCTTCGGTGAATGACACTTGGGATGAACTTATGACACTGTGTTTGCTGATGTTCTATACCCACTATACATGTAGGTCACTTGACTTGACTTCCAGGGTTGGGCTTTTCCTTCCTGCATGGTTTCACATGCAGTATGCGGGGTCTATGGCCGAATAATCTCCCAAGTAAAGGACAAGACCCATGAGTTGAAAAAAAAAATTGGAGGGGCTTTTCCCTTCTTTAGACAAACTTGCATCAGTGTTAGCAAGGAACAAATTCAAACCTGTAACATGCGTTAATTTACAGTTTTCCATTTAAGTGCTGCTGCCAATCAGCATTGCTTGATTTCAGTAATGGACATTGACATCCGATTTCCGTTGAGCCAGTTGCCCGGCACAGACTAAACCACATCCCTGTAATGTCTGCTTTCATGTGAGACATGGCATTTTTATATATGGTACCTTCTATTTTTCAGGGGTAGAGTGGGAAACAATGAGACAAAATACCTAGATTTCAATATTTCTTGTTTACGAATTATGTGGTTGAACTGTTAGTTTTTCCCTGCATATGGTATTGATTGTTCTCAATTAATAAATGTGTTCAAGCCATTTCTGTAATGACACTTTCCTGTCTTGTTTCTCCATGTGCCTGATTTCTTGGGTAACATCACACTTTGTAAATTCACCATCATGAAAAGGTAGACTTGGCTAGGTATCAGGCCAATTATAGTACTTGATTTACAGTTGTGCAATGCGACACCTAACATTTGTGTCCCTTGTTACAGTGCAAGCATCAAATTCCTGACCAAGCTTTGTGCCTCAAGTGTTTCACCTTAGGTTTTGCTGCACTCAAACTAAACTTGAGCAGTACTTAGCATTCTACTTGATGTGCCACATGGAACACAAATAAAGGCAGGACTAAAAAGGAGGTGTGGGTTGGCAATTGGGACTTTATTCTTTTCTGATTGATGAGCCTTATTAAATGATAAGTCTTCACATGTTTGCCTTGAACAAGCTTCCAGAAGGTCAGTCTTCCCTGCCATGATAACTTTGTGAACCACCATTTCCAGAGTTAAGTTCTCACTATTAAGGTTTTCCGTTCGTTTCTTTTTAATTTCACTTATTACTGATTTGTACCTTTTTTGTGGTGTATTCATAAGCGCACCCTCCCACCCTGGTTGATTGTACATAAACCCAGCACATGAAATTACCCTTTAATGGCTGGTGGTAGGTGGGTGATTGATGATGATTTTTGACCTCCGTTCACGCCAAAGGGCCCACTGAACTAATTCAAGCCCCATTGAAGACAGTGTAAAGTCGACCACGTTTGCAGCCCCAGTGTGTGTCATCGAAGTCCCTCAGGCCTCTCAAACAAAAACAATGTATTTGGGGGTCATTCAGCTTTCAATTGATTTTCAATTTTTAGTAGGTTAAATGTAAATTTTTTAATTATCCACCAAAAACAAACTCACCCCCCCCAAGTGAACGTTCCCAAGTCTGTCAGCAGCAATTTTTCAAATGACATCCCTCCACTTTTTTCTGGCTCTTGGCACAATTTTTCAATGGCATTTTTTCTCTGTGTTGCCCTGGGATGGGAGCCCTTGAATCTGGGGAGTTCATTCTGGGCAATTCTTACGCAATCCCACAATTTCTTGGGCCATACAATCTCCTCTTCTTCAAATAAACTGTTAGGGTACTTTTTGAGCACCTTGGCCTTGCAGACAATTTCCCTTGAATTGGGCAGGGCACCCCAAAGTGTCAAGCAGAATCACCAGGGGAAAAGCATAAAATTGCCACAGTTGTGCTCAAGTTTGGAGGTGGGTCATGAATGTCACGTTCATAATGTTCATTTTATCATTGACTTCAGTGGTTGCCAGGAATTTGATTGGAAAGTACAGGTGGTGCCATCAACAGTCCCAGCTTTGCCAAATTTCTGTGACCAAAAAGACTGATGGTCATGAAGTCCAGTAAAATTCCATAGAACATGATTCAATCTTGTAAGGCTGCATTTTCATGCAAAGAAAACAAAACCAGACTTTGGAGGTCAGTCTGGGACTTTAATTGTGTTCCCTCGAGTCTACTTACTTACGTGTGTGATACTATCACATGTAGCTGGTTGGTTGTGTGAGAAAACAAGGTCCCTTCTGCACATGTTGCAATTGTTTTTTTGTTTTTTTTTGGCTTTTTTTTCTTCGTATAGTGGTGGTGTACATGTACATGTACCTCTGGGACTAGCCTTGCCTTGCAGGGAACTACCTTAGTAAAGGCATTCTTAAGGTCAGGTTGCTTGGTTTCATTTTTGGATCAGTGAAATTTATAATTGGTGTTTTTGGGGTGCGAAAAAAGAGATGAAGACACTTTCTTAGGCACTGGAATTTGTTTACTGGGTACAAAGATGCTTAAGAAATTAAATATCTTTGGTTTGGCACTATGGTTCTATAAAGAATCCCGTGTGATTTCTTGGTAGGCAACCCCAATTATTTTTTTCCTTCAGTTGGAAATTAGAAGCTACATCAATGCTAGTGGGGATTGCAAGAAAGTATTTTCCTAGTTAAAACGTGCACTTGTAACATAAACTGAAAATTGCACAACTCTGGACATTTTATCAGTGAAGAAAAAGCTTGTGATTCTGAATATTTTATTTATTTATTTGTTCAATGTTTGATTTCATTAGAGATAACAATTTTCACAGTTAGTGGACATACTAGTATTGCGAAAAACGTAAACTTGAAATTTAGACAAAGAAAAACTGTATTGTTTTGCATCGTTGGTCATTGGTCAGGAAATTAAAGCAGTCCATAAACTTAATGATGTAACCTTGATTAGTTTCACACCTAACCACTAATTACATGTTATTGGGAGGGGTGTTGTTAGGCCAAAATCTTGTATGTACTTACTCAGTAGGAGTCCTGATTTGTGAAGTGGTGAGAAATATGTGGACGGTACAAGTGTTTCATTTAATTATAATTGAATTCTTGTTAATATGTATATGTTTCTTCCACTGTATGAAAATGATTTGAAATTGGATAGCCATGTAGAGAAATTAGCTTCTCTGTTAAAACCTGTCAGATGAGTTGAATAAAAGCGGGACAGGTGGGTGCAAACTGGGCCTCACTCTCAGGAGGTTTGCCTCAACAGGACACCATGTAATACTTCTGAAATTGTTGTTCTGTTTCTCCAAATTATGAGCTCGATCATCTCGCTTCAGACACACTGCTGAAGTACAAATGCGGTCCTGGACTTTTGCTGTGTGTTCCTTCTATGACCTTCCATGACCAACAGAATACTTATAAGATGAGTCTTTTCCTGCGTGCTCATCAGGAGAACTGCCATTTCCATATTCCAAGCGAGTTGTACTCAAAATTTGGCTGATCTACATGTACACACACCGACCGGTACAGTTGGGGCATGTATGCACCTGGTAGAACAAACACAGTTTTCCTTAAATTTCACAACTTCACTCATTCTTACCAACTTTTCTTTTCATGAGGACAGACAGGATAGATCTCTACTTAATAATGTACATGTACATGTTGTGGGCATCAAGTAACACCCAGAGACATGATTCATATTTATATTTACCCAAAAATCAACATGTTACATTTTCCGACCCTAATATTTAGTAGTGCCACTGTCTGTATTTTTTGTCACGTCTCATAGTCGCTGTGGACCACTTTCTAAAGTGTTTTTGAACGACAATAAGGAGGGGGGTAGATGTAAATTTCTTTGAAAAAATGACTTTTCAGAAATATTAATTTTTGAAGCCTAATAATGTCTCTGTGTATTTTCGATTGAAGTACACACTATGCCTGGGCATTAAGTTGGGATACAGTTTGTCTGACCTCGTAGAGAAAAAATTAGCGAGCACAAAAAAGTTCAAACAGTGAAAAAATTTAGGAAAATCATTGTTTTCGACCAAGTGTATGTTAACTTTTTGCCCCAGCTGTATGTCGCTTCACGTGTTTATCTGTTTTCAGTGATAAATGCATATCATTTGGGTACACCATACACTGCACGATACCTTTGGGAAGGTGCTTTTAAAATCATTATTCAGTTTCGTTTTGGGTGGAAAGCAGTACTTTTGTGCCTAATTCATATAATTTACTGTGATTTCCCATTTGGCACCACGGTTCGTAATGCTATCGGACATTTTTGCTCCTGTTTTGGAAACAAAAGACCACTTGCAAAAAGGGTGTAGGATCTAAACAGTCATGTTTCATATCAGGCGAAGGTAATGTTTTAAGAGTTAATTTTTTACGTACAAAAAATTACTCTGGAAACACCCTCTCTTTAGGTACACGTAATTACTTTGTTCAAAGTCCATCTTCAACCTTTACATATATTCCCTTGTCGATTTTATGTGTGTTTGTGATTTGTCCCGAAGCTAAAAGCATATTTGTTATTTTATATTGCCACTGTTCGATGTAACATGAATGCCCTTGGCTTTTGAAGCAACTTCAGTTGCCAGTCATCTGCCCTTGCTACATGTGCTTTCCCCCCAAACCTTAATGCAGGTAAGCAGAGAAGCATTAATTCTCGGGCTTGACATGCCTTTCCTTGACCTGGGCCTCAAACTTCAGGGATTAAAAAACAGAGTCATTTTTACCAGGGATTGGAACAACTTGGCTGCTCCCCCTTGAGGAGAGTGCAGCCTTGCCCATTGGGTTCTGCATGCTCTCAGCAACTGGCTTGCTCCCCTTGCCAAGACAGCAGAGTCAGGATCCCTTCTCATTGGCTGAAGGTCCGACCCCCCTAAGTGGCACTCCATCCCATAATACTAATGGTCCCTTAAAAGACCAGGGGCTGACATGGGCTGAATGAGCCCCGAAAGCTCACTCTTAGGCCCACTGACTTGTCGCCAAGGCTGTGTAGTCCCCTAGCTGTCTGAGGCAGATTGTGGAGGCAATTGGGTCTCAGTTGCCTCAGCTTTAGGGTGCACAAAGATTGTACATGAGAGCTAGCATGTATAGCTTTGTGGGCCGAAGTGCCCGCCCAAGGTGGGGCTTGCTTCTACTTTGTTTGGCTGTCTTCTGTGTGATGAGGATCAGCTGCCAGTCTCCAGGATCACCTGCATCATCATCATCATCTTCATCCTGTAAGTTGGTTGCTTAATCTGTCTGTTTTACAATGTACTTCTTGATTGTATGCCTCCTCCCCAGAGTAGAAGCACATTGTATAACACTGTTTTCTATGTTACCAGGAAAAATGCAACATGTGCTCAAGGTTGTCTTTAACATAAAAGGTACATACAAGTTCTGCATTTTTAGTTAAACTACATATGTTGCTTTGTCATCTTTTAAATATTGTTAAATCTGAACTCTTTTCCATTCCTAATAACGGCAACTAATTGAAATAAATTGTCTAGTCTATTTTAATACTAAATGGATCGCTGAAAACTGAAAGTTATATTAGGACTCAAGTAAGTAGTGAACTTGAATAATCTCTATTCATGTAGTCTCACTACTCTACAGTCTTTGTAAATGCAAGAGGAATTGGTCAGGGTGTCAAAAGGAGTGGACCATGTAGTTTATTTTAAGTGATATAATGCAGTTTTGTTTTCATTTAGAATCCATAGTTTTAATACTAACAGCATTGTATTGCAACATTTGTAGATAAACTTTGTCCCATTACAGCCTGGGCCACCCCTTTAAATCTTTGAAGCAAACTTTTTTTTTAACCCTCCACTGTCTCTGAGGTTGACCCAGCACTATCAGCAGTTCACAGTGCACTAAGGTCGCGCACAAGGAGAGTCGGAAGAAGAAAAACTGCATATGTCAGCAACACAAATGCAGAGATGTAATTTGAATACAGTCTGCCTTGGAAGAGACTCAGTACAGATTTGCTTATTTGCAGTTTTTGGTCAGGTTTTGCAATCCAGCGTGGCAATGCGCTATAAAGATTTCCTCGGCTGAGACTTCTTCGCTTTCACTGGAGATTTTTCCCGGGTTACACTTGCTAACAAATAAGATTCTTGAGGGGATGCTGGTGCTAAATGGTTATGATGTTTCATGCTGAGATTCCCTGGTGTTTATTCTTATAGCACATGTACAACTATGGGCAAAGTGTGGAAGGGAATGCGCGTATATATGAGGGTTAAAAAAAAACTTGCACCGAGTGGGTCATTTTAGTTTGATCCTAAAAGTACATGTACCTCAAAGATGTGGTGATTGAAAGACTGAACGAGAAATGGCAGGGGAGTAGCTAGCTCACTTGTATGCAACTGATTGACCCTGCCAACGTGGAATGCACGTCATGCCATTCTACTGCCATGGGTAAATATCAAATGGACTTTAAAGTAAAGGGGAAAATGTGCTAGTGGATGAAAGTACCTGTGATTCAGTTGTAAGGGGTTTCTGTTTTTAGTTTTTTTGGAAATATTTTTTGAATGTGCATTATTATTACAGAAAAATTTGATTCTTTAAAAAATAAAAGCATTTAATAGGTAGAAAATGTGTCGCTCTAACATTTCGAGATCTTGCAATGTTGGATGGGAGGTTTGGATGAAATGCATGAAATTGAAGGTATAGTCTAGTCACTATCGACACAACATAGTTTTCCTGCATGGTAAACGATTTTGAAGAGTTCATGAAAGTGCAGTGATTTGAATATTTATTGATTCCGATTTTGTAGTGACATATACTAGTGTATCAGCTGTGCTGTTCAGAGCTTAAGTTTTTGGTGGGCAAACAAATTGTAAACAAACTGTTTGACTGCTGTTGGGCTCCAACTTTGCCATCTGTTTATTGTGAGTTTGGAAAATTATTGCTAAATTGGTTTACATTTGGGTCAGTTTTCTGGTTGTGTGAAGCACTTTTTTTTGGGGTGGGGGCTTGACAGAGGTCAATCAGGATGGCAAAGTGGCTGCAGCCAGACCCATTTGTTTGTGTTTAATATCAAGCCTCTGCCAGGTCATTCAGACATGACGGGCATAGCCATAGAGGTGGTTAGCATGTGGTGTCACATTTTTTTATCATATTTATAGAAAGTGGCAAAACTCGGTACACTCTAATATGAAACAGAAGAAAAAAAACCAGAAAGAAAAAAGAGATGAACATATACGTGGTGTCCCACGTAGTCTGGTTTATAATTGAATTTTCCCAATAACCACTCCCTCTCTCATCGATACTCTCTCAGGATACTAAAAGCACCGTTAATTTATAAAGTTAGTAACAATGTACCAGATAAGATTTGCGACATCAACTACCTGGTGTTCTGGTACCTAGTCTGAACGTGCATCATACAAGTAGCTCTCAATTTGAGAAAACAATTTTGCCAGTGATTTATAATCAGAGCATAAACTGGCAAGAGGTGCTAGGTACTTGAGAGTATGATCATAGTTTCCTTCTACTGGTTTGGAGTCAAGAATTGCAGCAACAGCTTGTCCTTTGTGTTAAAGATACATCCAGGACAAAATGTGTTTTTTTTGGGAGGGGGGAGGGAGGGGTTAAAACAATTTTGGATTTTTGTTGGTACCATTTTATAGTCTCTATTTTAGGGGCAACATGTAGGGACTTTTTACACACTCTTTGAAGGAAGAGAAATCAAATAGGCAAACAAAGCTTTTTTTCTCTTTTTTTTTTTTAGGTAACATAATTTTATGTTTTTTTTTGGGGGGGGGCATATTGCTCCCGTGGGCACTCCTTGATCCACCATTGGTCTTAATGGCAATCATAAACGTACAAGACTGAACATTATTTCGGACATCATCTCAAAAAGGCATTCAAAGTTATAATGGCATCTGTTAGCCCAAGACCTAGACTCAGCTCCCTAGACTCGGCTCAGGATGCAAAGTTTGGATGCTGCTCAACACTCTTCTGTTGCAGTGGACTCTGCGAATGACCGAGAATATCAGAAAATGCCCTTTCAAAACCAACAATTCAAATCAGTGGTTATTTGCTTTCAGTATGGACAAATTTCTTATTCAAGTGGATACAGTGTCTGGTCTGTATTTTCGTACACATGGTACCACTGCCATTCTGGCACATGTATATTGTGACATCAACTGCTCAATTTTAGTGAAATATTTCACATTCCGGGATGATGGGATACTATCAGCAAATTCCTCTTATTTTCTTATATTGTTCAGGAGTGTGAGAATTCAGCTTTTTAGCTGATTTCAGCATTTTTTGTTGAGATGTTGACCCTAAATATCAGTTTTTTTGGATGCCTGGTCTGTACAAAAGTATGGGAACTTTTTACATTTCAGCTTGTTGCCAGCTGTTTTTAGTTTTAATTTGAAGTGGCCTCTCTCACAGTGCAAGAGTTCTTTCTGACGGTTTGTTTTGAATTCTCTCCCAGCGAGTTCTCCAGAGGATGGAGGAGGAGGAGCAAAGAAACCACCTGATGACTTGCCTTGCAAGGACAACGCAGGCAAGATATCCCTCCACGGAGAAACCTACAAGATGACTGAGTGTTCGTCTTGTACCTGCACCAATTCCACTCTCAACTGCATGTTCGAGTCCTGCCAGCCGACAACTTGCAGAGAGCCATACAAGTTTCCCGGGGAATGCTGCAAAGCTTGCCCGTACAGTAAGCCAAGCTTCTTTCCCTCTCCCCTAAATTCCATTGTTGTTCATTACTAGGCCAAAGACGTAATACAGTAAGTTTAGTGGAATATTTGTGACCTCAGCTAGCAAAATGAGTCCAAAGTTGTCGGCACAACTTTTGAGCTAGGCCCTTGAAAGACTCTTACACTTGTTAAGTTACCATTAGGGACTATCAACAAAATGGTCTTGTTCATCAGGACGCCAAACTGATACCGGTAAATCAAAATGAGGCTCAGGTTATTCTTTCGCATACAAACAAAAACAGTGTTACCAAAAAAGGGTGTTGCAGTCAGGGTCTTGTGCTGATACATGCATGTGGCATCGGTTGAATCTGAACATCGTCATGTAGGGTAAACTTGGAAATGAATGTGTCCTTTGGCCATTCAGTATATGTGGCATTCATTTCCAAGATTACCCTACATGACGTGATAATGGGTTTAGATGTTATTTGCTAGGTTCCAATCAAATGCCGCTGTTGCCACATGCCTGGTGTCCATGCAAAGAAAACCTACAAATCAATCAAATTAGGGATGTGTACATTTAGTACCGTGATGGATGTGCAAACAGGAGGAAATGGTAAATGTATGTTGCTCTATGGGGAACTGCTGCTTGGATTAAAATACTTGGATTTCACTTTTATTAATACGTGGGAGGATTATGCTTTATTGAGTTAGTGTTGTTAAGGATGAATAGGAAAGCTTAGCCAATTACAGGTAATTGTGAAATGTGTTTGTAATGCAAGGACACATTGCTTTATTTTCCTTCGGTGTTTTCCTAAGATGTGACTGTGCAGCAGGTGACACCCGTGCTTCCTGGAGCTCAGTCCATTCAAGAAGGTAGAGCAGAGAATGATCTGGCAGTAAATCTGGACGTGCTGTATGCCAACACCAGAGAGACCACCAGCGTCACTGGCGAGGGCCTTTGGCAGACGGGTATGTGGATGAGCAGTGAGGAGGATGGGTCGGTCAAGCTGCCGGGCACCTATGTGGAAAACGTCCTGACGGAGGGCCAGCAGTCCCAGGATCTGAGGAAACAGGGGCTTGTCTCCACCAACTTCTACATCAATGACATCAGGTACCAGGTGGACATGTCTGACCTGACTTGCGACGAGGCCCGCTACCTCTGTGCCAAGTTCAACAAGGGGGAGAACCCTCAGGTGGAGAAGTCATTCCTGGAGTTTCACTTTGAGGCGAGGCCCTCTGAAGATGTGCTGACTGGATGCAGTCCTATTGAAGATTGCAAAGGTTGGTTCATCGATTACAATGAGCAAACAAAAATCCTCACTTTTCTTCTCTTTATCACAATGCCAGTGGTGAAAAAGCTGTGTCATAGAATTCAAACATGAATCGTACCTCTTTTTTTTTATATTTAGGATCTAATACAACATTTCATGAATTCAGTAATTTTTTGTGATGGGTTTAAATTTACTACCACTTGATTGTGTTTGTGAATCTGCTTTTTCGATGTAAGATCTTCATATAAGTATTCAACTTGTCTTGAACACTTAAAGTCCGTGCATGAGTTTCACTTGAATTTGATTTTTCTTTCATTCAGAGATTACTTCATCAAATGACCTTTTTTCTTTTCTTTTTTGTAGGGGGAGCATTGGTTCAAGTGAACAGTGTAACTCCGAGGATGCAAGAGAACACCGTAGTGAAGGAGGGAAACTCCAACGAGGTATTGGTGGATATGGCTGTGGGCTACGTGGATTCAGAAAAGACCACCAACGTCGATGGAGAAAACCTGTGGACGACCCAAATGTGGCTGAGCGGTCAGATGGACGGTTCACGTCCTCTGAGGGGGACCCTGCGGGAGCAGGTGCTGACCCCCGAGCAGCGTTCCCAGTCCCTGGTGAAGGACTCCTCGGGAGTCTTCAACCTCAACGGCATCCCTTACAACTTCGACCTGACGGGAAAGACCTGCAAAGAGGCCAAGTATCTCTGTGCCAAGTTCAACAAGAACAAGGATGCCCAGCCGAGCAAAGAGTATTCGTCGTTTGAGCTGGAGGGCGTGCCCAATGAGAAAGCCCTAACTGGCTGTTCCCCGCTGGAAAACTGCCAGGGTGAGGCTCACAAAGTGCAGTTTCTTGTGTGTTGGCTGAGGGAAGGGCAGTTTTGAATGACCTTGGAAGACCCTGCAAGATGTTCTCCCTGTTAGATTTCAGTGGCAATCGAATAGCATTGTCAACCAGAAATATGGGACTTGTGTTGGCGATTGTAAAAATGTTAACTTTTCTCTGAGGGAAAAAATTGTCAGATGTTTCGTGTTTGCATTTACAAAAAGTCCTGCACTATAAGAACAGAATACAAAAACGAAGTTTTGAAGGAAATGACAGGTGATTGTAGTCGACATAATTTTAATGGATATATTTTGTTTGTTTTAGTATAAAAATAGGGATGAATAATTATTATTATTGGTTTATTTCAACTTTCTTGCAACTTTCTTTCTTGGTTAAATTGTGAAGTGGTTATATCCAACACACAAGTACAATAAATACATTTACATTTAAAAATACACAACAAGTGTTCTTTAGAAAAAAAGCTCAGGAAACATCACATTGAAACTTACAGCTGCATTTTACAAAGAAACTAAAAACCTACAAAATGTCCCACTATTTTTGACTATAAATAAGACCAACATTGATAAAACAAGTACTATATTTTTATATTTTAAAAAATGCAATCAATCTATGAGTGTGTTATTTAAGAATCTGGTAAGGTATGGAACAGGACTATTTTGAAATATGTTGATTGAGCCCTGATGTGTGTCAAGTATCCAGGTAGATCTTAATGTCATTGTTTGGCATCTGTTAGATTTTGGAAACCAGTCAGGAAATGATGTTTGATCAGTAAGTTTTCAAAGGGAATTTTGCACCTTTTTTTCTTTCACACAGCGGATCCAAATCCAATAAGTGTAAGGCCTGCTCGTAGTTAAAATAATTGCTAGCGAGCAGGATTAGACAAATTTATTTTTGAACTAATTCTAATTGGTCAAATTGTACGAGTGTCAATGAAAAATGGGTTCTGTATTCATTTTGTAAACAGGAGCTACCTTTTCTGGTATGAGTTGGTCTCGTGAGGTGGGACAGCAGCAGTATGGACTACCTGCCCCATTGACCATTGATGCCCAGGTTACTGCAACCCCCGACAGCCCCTCGGTGGATGGCACTGGGCTGTGGAAGATGAACATCTTTGGCAGCCGCAGCATGAACGGCAGCGGCGTCCGCCAGAACGAGCGGACCCAGATCCTAGACGGCTTCAACCAGGGCAAATCGCTTTCAGCTGGGGGCGGTCCACTGGAGTTCAGCGACATCCAGACCAGGTTCCCACTGGACGATCTGGGCTGTGGCGAGTACAAGTACCTCTGTTTGGAGTTCACCAAGGGGGACAACGCCAACCCAGATTACAGCTATGCCACCACCACCGGAGCACAATCCATCATCAACTGTTTGCCTGAAAAGTGCAGAAGTAAGATCACTCTGTCCTCGTGACGGACTTGAAACCATAACCCACCTGCATCATTTCTATTAAATGTATGTAAATAATGCCGTACGATTACTTGCAATCTTTCTCGACAAGCTGGAAAGTATGTGAAATGATTTCTGGATGTTTTTCATCTCCTTTTTAGTGCAGTAGGTCAGTTGTAGGCCACCATGCGCTGTAGATGGAAAGATTAAATGCCGCTCTGTAGAGTCATTTATTTGTTGCCATGGGCACTTTCCTTGTCCTTCTCTGCCATTGAAGTAATGACTGTGATGGTATCATCTTTGCCCCTGTTTGACATCATATTTACGTAGCTGTGTACGTCTCTGGTGTGCAGTCCACCCTCGGCAGTGCTGATCTGTATGAAGGTAGGCCTAACAACATGGTCCAGTTTGACACCATTGTGCAGACCACCGATGAGAGCTCGCCGCTGGTCGGACGCAACATGTGGCGGCTGAACATGTATGGCAGCGAGCGGCCAGACGGCTCGGGCCCTCGCCTGGCTCCCCAGGAGCAGGTCCTGTCTGACTACTACAGCAGCCAGGAGCTGACGACCCCTGGCAGCCCATTGACCTTCCAACCCATCAACACCGAGTACGACATGACAGACGTGGACTGCAAGCGACTGAATTATCTCTGCACGGAGTTCAGCCGCAATCCTGAGTCCCCCGTGGAATTCGAGCTCAGCCCCGTACCCGATGCCAGCGTGTTGAGGAGCTGTATGGAGGTGCCCGATGAAATGTGCAATGGTAATCCCACATCTGAATTCTGGGTTCTCAGATGCACTCCGCAAAGTGTTTGACTGAAAGTACAGAAACCATACAGTGTCTCTTTACTAGCACTGGGGCCAATTTTATAGTGCTGTGTTAAGTGAAAAATTTGTTTAAGCATGAAAAAACCTTGCTTGACAAATCAGGTTTCCAGCCAAAACTTCTTGTGATGTATTATTGTTTTGGAATGGTATTTAGGTGTGTTTTGGTTAGCATGACAATCACATAGAGTTTGAGCTGGTAACCTTTGTTTATTAAACAAAGTTATTTTGTGCTTAAGCAAACTCTTTGCTTAAGCAGCTCTATGAAATTGGCCCCAACAAGAATCAGTGACAGTCTGATGATGGTCCAGCCTGGCTTTTGCCAGCCTCTACTTAAAACTGGGAGAGAGAATTCTTGGGTACAAAGCCTGTTGCTTTTCTGCTACATCTGAGCCTTTTTCTTTGATCTACCATAGGACCTTGTTGCCAAAGTTATTGATGGATATTGAGTCCCAATACAGAGATGTTTATGAAGTGCACCTTATAAAAGATACAATTTGCTGAACATAAATAAGAGTAATTCCAGAAATCAGGGGCCCAAAAGTGTGAATTTTTCTGTCCTTGTTACGTCTGACCTTTGTTGTTTGACGTGGAAATATCACCGGAACTGATTTTGAACTGTCACTATTTGTTTGGCAGATAATTTGCATTAATTCATCACTCTTAAAAACTTAAAAATCATATGTCAAATGTGACAGGGACACACACAAAAATGGACCGTTAATATCTTGAATTACCCCTAAGCGAATATTTTCAGTACCCTTACAGTTGGATTTTTGAAGTTGCATAGTAAGTTGTCACAGCACTGATTGATTGTTTTGGTTTCATTTATTTGGCGTTTGTTACACGTTGGTTTTTCTTCCTTTCCGTTGCATTGTTAAGGTGTGATAATTGATGACATGGATTGGGAGATGCAAGTGTTAACCGACAAGGTACAAGCCGGCCGTCCAACCCCGGTCAGATTTGACGTGGACGTGGAGCCGCGACCGTCTGCTGGCAGCATCAGTGGAGAGAACCTGTGGCGGGTTGGCCTCTTCGGTTCCACCAGGCCGGATGGCAGGGGCCCCCGGATCGGACCCCAGCGCCAGATACTGACCCGAGACCTCTCCAGCCGAGACCTGACCGCTAGCCAGACCCTGCAGCTGGATGACATCAATGCCGAGTTTGACCTGACCTCGATCGGCTGCGAGACAGAATACCAGTACCTGTGCCTGGAGTTTGCCAAGGGCCTGCGAGCTGAGCCTGACTTCAAGTTTCAAGCCGCTAATGGGGGAGAGGTCATCACCAAATGCAAAGACCAAGACTGCCGCAAGGGTAGGTGCTTGAGAAGGCTTCACCTGTCGGTAATCTTGCACCAATAGCTTTAAGGGTTTCTTGCGGCAGCTTTTGGGACTGTGAAAGAATGGAGAGTTTGAGATGACCAACACAAGGAGGGTCAATCTTTCATACGCTTTGCTTTGGATGGTTCTTTCAGTTCATGTGTTTTGCAGTGCACCAAGGAGGTTCTAATGAAAAACTTAAGACATTAAAAACGTTCTTCTAAAAGATTGAAAGGGTCAACATTTTGATCTTAGCAGAGTCTGTCTCAAAGGCAGTACAACAAGCCTTGTGACTGTGAATCTTCAAACTGCCATGGTGCAGGGGCTAAAAGGATTGGTTCATTCCAAAATGATGTACACGTATATCTTATCAATGGTACATTTGCAGGTGATCAGCATATAATGTTACTTCTGGATAAGTTAGTTTCACCTCCCATGTGATAAAAGCATGATTAAGCCATCAGATTCTCCCATCTGGAACGATGGGTAGTTTCCCCCGTGCAGTGACAGCATCAGTCTTGTTTAAATTCTTGCAGGTGTTAAGATTGAAGATCTGAATGTTGTGGGCAATGACTACTCCGTGTTGAAGGAGAATGACCCCTACAACCGGGTCATGTTTGACATGACGGCTGAAACCACGCCCGACAGTGGTGGCGTTGATGGGGACAACCTGTGGGAGCTCTCCCTCTTCGGCAGCAGCTCGGAGAATGGGGTAGGCCGTCGCTTCAACGAACAGCGGCAGGTTCTCAATAACTACCAGCGCAACAAGGACGCCTTCCCCGGCGAGGACATCGACTTTGGCATGGTGGACTCCAACTTCAACATGCAGGGCTTATCCTGCAAGGAGGTGCGCTACCTGTGCGCCGAGCTGCGCAAGGGCACCAGGGCTGACCCTGACTTTGAGCTGAACCCTGTGCCGGACAGGTCCGTCTTGACAAAGTGCTTCCGCCAAAAATGCGACGGTATGACACTCAATTTGTGAAACAAATTTGCACAGAGAGGAAACAACAGTTGCCAAAAGGTGGAGAGTAATTGGAGAAAATGGGGATAAGTGCCATTACAGCAAGTTTTAAGATTCCTTCAAATTGGCATACAACCAGCAAGTGAAAGGAATCATACCATCACACCAACCATAGTTTGGAGATCGTGTTTTCAGCATCTTGTTGTTTTACCTCCTTTTTTCAAATAAAATTCAAATATATCTTGCGTCATTTCTTTTATGATGAAAGGTTTGAACTCATACATGTTTGAAATAGATTTTGCTCTTTTCAGGCATTATAATTGACAGCACCGACCTGAGGGGTGATTTTGACGTAGATGATAACACAGATGAGGTGGAGTTTGACGTGTCAGTCAACTCTAACCCCAACAGTGGCGATGCCACTGGACGGAACATTTGGCGGCTGCAGACATTCCTGGCCAACTACCCAGACGGCACAGGCAACGTCCGGACCCTGGAAAGACAGACCCTGACCCCCGAGATGGCCAGCCGTGACCTAAGGTCAGGTTCAAGGCTGAACTTCAATAACTTGGCAGCCCGCATCAATAAGGATGACCTGTATTGCGATGAGGGTGAGCGGTACATCTGCGTGAAGGTGGAGCGAGGGGACAACCCTTCCATTGACTACTCTCTTAGTGGAGCACGAGAAGGCTCTCTGCAGAGATGTCAAAAGGTGAACTGTGTGAAAGGTATACTGTTTCTTTCTTTGAGGATCATCTTAAGTCAAGTCATAGTTTTGCTCAATAAGTTGTCTGTTGTGTTTACACCTCTTTGTGCATATTTCAAGTCCTGAAGCAGATCAGCTCCCCCTCCTCAGAGCATATTACACTTAGATGCAATAAAAAAGAATGATCATTACCAACCTATGCAGTCTTATAGTACTGTTAAGCTATGCTATACGCTGTGCTACTGCCGTGCCGAACTTAAATAAGCCGAGTTCCTTAAGTTCAGCTTGGCAGAAGCATGGCATTTAGTACTAATTCGGCTTGGCAAAACTTTCAACACAGCTCATAGCCTAGGCCCTACGGTTGTGTGTACATAAATCTTGCAAGAAGTCACCATCATAGAATTTTTTAAAATACTTCGGAACGGCATTATCATACGTTTTTAAAATTTTCAAAAAGCCTCATGAAACTTTTGCATGACTCTTATGCATACGTGTTAGAAACTGAAACCTGTGAGCAAAAATTAATCTGTGAGAATTTGTGTCAAGGGGCATGTATTCGTAGCTGTGAATGCAGCAACATTCAATTGATTGCTGTCATTAATTCTACATGGTACCTCTTTTCCTTTCTCTTATTTCATGTTCCCCGGACTGTTCTCATCCAATTTGCTCAAATCAGCTCCTGAGGTGAGTAACTGTAGAGTGAATCGTTAACAGGTGGAAAGAGAAAGGGAAGAAAAGGATGTCAACGTGCAGGATTAGAGGAAGACATTTATTTGGAAAAGAGTGAATGTTCAACGATGATGTTTGATCCAAACAGAAAAGCAGCAACACAATTGTAGATTAGTCTAGTGCAACAAATCAGTAGTGCCCAGCACAGGGTTAATAAAGATGGATTATTTGTCACAGTTAATTTGAATAACTTTTACTCCGACACTAATGCCCCCTTTCCAGTTAGAAAGGGACAAATAAATACCGAGCAGGAGGTGGCACTTGATTAAGAATTAATCACAAAAAAAAAGAAATATCTCCCGATGGTTTCATCAGCCTCTTCATCATTTCTCCGGCACGTGTCCTCACGAGGTTGTGGTATAGACCTGTAGTTCTTTTTGAAACTCTCCCGTAGAGTGTGATAAATAAATTAATGTATATTACCCTCCTTTTGTTTCAGGTTGTCAAGGGGCCGATAGGAGACAAAGGATACCCTGGTGAGCCAGCTGTTATGCCTGTAAGTTCACAGACTCGGCTCTTTCAGTTCAGTCCTGCACCTGCTCCCCTTACAAAAACTGGCCCTCTTGGTTTAAATGCAGTTGCATGGAATTTTGTTTGAAGAAAATTTTCCAAAGGGTATCTGCAATTATGCTGACATTGCAAGCACTTCCAGAAAACATACAGAACCTCCCGTGCTTCCTTGAGGATGTTTGTATAATCATGTTGTTCAAGAAATGTTTCCAGAAAGTAAGATTATTTTTTCAGAGCTTATCAAAAGATTTGTCCTTCGAATTTTCTCATGGTCAGTTCCTCAAAACTTTTTTGTACTCCAAACAAATGTTGGCTGTATTCTTGTAATGTGGCCACTCAAAATTACCTGCACACGACTTCTCTTTTTTTTCCTAAAATGTTTCCACAGAGGGAGTACATGCAAGGACCTCCTGGACTACCAGGTCAAGCCGGACCCCCAGTAAGTTGAGAGAATCAACTATATCTGCAATGTGTTCTTGCCTTTTTTTACACTTCAAACAGGTCACTTGATTTGTTAACTGCTTCTAAAGACATTTCCCCTGAAGACTTTTCCTTGGTTCCAGATAAGTGCCTGTAGATGTACACCAAAAAAACCATACATTATCTCACGTTTGAATTGTACCCATCGTTGTAAGTAAGACCATCATAAGACTATTCAGAAAAACCTGACATAAAGCCAGTCACAGTACCATTCACAAAGACCATTCACATGGCCAGTCACAAGTCAATGAGTCGTCTGATTTGTTTTTTTCATTAACGGATCACTTGTTTAATCATGACAAACAGTGTTCACGCGTCTGAAATTAAATCAGAATGAAATTATAATGCTAAACTAAAGTCCAGTGGATTATGTAAACGTACATTGTAGCTAGCCCTATTCTTGTAACAAGCATTAGCAAGGTGAAAGATGACAAGAGAATCTCTCTATTGCAGTTCATTTGAATAGCTTCTGACATGAACTCATACTGTAGGTCTTAAGTTGATGTTACGAGGTCTCACCTTTAACACTGATCGTACCCTAATCAGATTTTGAAGCAGTGGGAAACACAAACCACTCCTGCTTTTTCTGTTCCCCTTCAGGGATACAAGGGACCCAATGGATATCCTGGCCAGCGTGGAGCACCTGGGCTGAAGGTATGCCCCTGTAGATCAGTGTGAAAACTAGGATGAAATTTGTATTTGGGGGGGGGCTCATAGTTTCTCCGGACAGAACCAAACAGCGGTTGGTGGGTGGGTCTTGAACATTGTATTGTTCACGTTTCAAAATTTCTTATATTCTTACGCTTGGAATTTAATATGCATTGGGATGAAGGTGATGCAGCAGTTGTAAAACAAAGGTCAAAGGTTATCGTTCTTACGGTCTGAAAAGTAGTGCGAAATATCAGTAAGAAATCATGTCTCCTTTATTGTCCCAAGTGAAAAATAGTTTTCAAAGTTTTCAAAGTGAGGATGGACGTATGATTTTAAAATGGCCAGTAAATTGATTTGGACTTAAGGGGTCACAATCCAATATGGCCGTTTCTCGAATGAAGCCCTTTCTCCTGTTAACTCATTGATTCCCAGGGACCCCAAGGGGACCCAGGTCTCTACGGTTACCCTGGCGCACCAGGTCCACCTGGTCCACCAGGCCGCCCCGGTGAGGTAAGAAGTGCACTGGATTTCTGTCTGCTTTTTACATCAATTTAAAAATACCCCCAAAAGAATTGAAGAAGTTCCAGTTTTCTAAGAGGCTGTCGGCTCGCATGTGTGATAAAAAAGTCTTTTGGAGTGTACAGGAAAGACAAGGTTTATTATATAGTTGTAGCGCATGTATCGGTTGTTGAATAATGTCCTGTGTTGATGTACACTACATCGGTTGTCTCATTGGGAACAGGTTGACAGTTTTATGCCAAGTTAGCGTTAGAATAAGATTCAGAATCCCCTGTTTACTTGACAGAGAAGCGTTAAATATTGTTCTAAATTAACTGTTGAAAAAGTATTAATCGTTCGTTGCCGCTCATGTCCTTTGTTGCAGTGTGGCAGGACATCCTTATGAGACTGTTTATACACTGAAAATATGCAGATCTGTGTTTCAGTTTTGTTCCATATTTCACTGTTTGGAGCACTATTCTCAAACGTCAGCACTGGGGATCAACTGTTGCGTTAGATAATCTTATTTTTTGTAGAGTATATTGCAGAATTTGTTGTTAAACATATGAAGTTCACTCTGAGGTTCACACTTCAAATTCCAAGAAAAATGTGCAAACCTCAGGGTGCTGGATGCCCAGGAAATGAATATCTTGGAGTCATGCTTTTAGTCTTGTTTTTTCTGTCAAAGGGAATTCTAATCTTGTGTGATATCTAATTTCCCCTCCTCAAAGGCCATCGCTCCCACCTACCAACAACGATACGGGTCAAAGAACCTTCCCTATGGTGCTGGCTACGCCCCCCAGCAAGTGGTACAGGTAACTGTTGATCATTTTTGAGTGCTGTTTAAAGATTTGAGTAAGTTTAAGAAACGTTGATAAAGTTCACTCAGGGTTTCTTGTTTAATGCACAGGAGGTGTAGAGTTGTTCACCCTACTCATTTGTGCAGGTGTTGCCAATATGTTTAGTTTTGTGCTCATATTGCCAGATGTATGTTTGTGTATCTTGCAAATATTTTAGTAAGTTCTATCATCTTTCTCCCTGTTCTGTCTAGACTGTTTATGTTTTTTTCCACGTGAGACTTGCATTTCATCTGGATTTTTTCTGATAGACGGAGACCACAGCAGAAACTTTTTGGGGATATTCTCACATGGTTCATATTGTCCTAATTTATTCATGATTTCTTCAAATTGTTCTCCTTTCAGGGACCACCTGGTCCAGCTGGTCCACCAGGCAGTCCTGGTGATCGTGTGAGTATTTTGGTTCAGTGATTATATGTGCCTATTTCATTAGAGACTTTACTGAGTGAAAACGAGATTTTTCTGTAAAAATGTGAAAATGGACACAGGCCAGAGATTTTGAAGTGTGTTTAGCAATGAAAATTTTGCAAAAAGTTTTTTTGAATTGGTTGATAAAATATTGAAGTATAGAGATTGATTTCAAAATGTGCTTTTTGGATTTGCTTTAATTGCATCAGAGATTTCAAACAACTTGAGGAAAAATTTAAAAAGGAAGATTTTTTTTTTGCAGTACAAGGTAGAAATTGAAAGGCACAGTCCTGCCATGTATTTCTTGAACTGAGACAGTGTTTGCCTATGGGCCAAGCTACACCATACGTAACGTAGTCTATCGAAGCGTGCGATACTGCATGTACTGTGCGCAACGTACATTTACACTGTACCAGTCATTGTTCTGGCATTAACGTCATCCAATCAGCCTGGGAGCGTGAACGGCCAAAAGGGTTTTTGTTTGTGGGCGGGGAAATGCTGGATCTTTTTATTCATTTTGGGGTCACAATGGGGTAAACATTAAATTCACAATGTTTTTGAAATGGCTTATGTATTTATTGTTATTTTAAAATACTCCACGTGAACTAAATTTTTTCTATATCTGTTACCTTTTAAATCTGCAGTAATGCTGAATTGACTCTTGCAGATTGTTTTTAAACAAAATAGAGTTGTGAATTTGAATGACAATTTGTTTCCAGCTCTTACCCGTATTTTAAGTAAAATTTGTACCATTGCAGGGTCCTCAGGGATTGCGTGGTGTGCAGGGATCTTCCGGTCCCCCTGGACCTGTGGTGAGTATTACATCTAGATCTTCTTGCTGCGGCTGGAATAGCACATGCATGTATGTCAAGTGGCTGAAGTGGCTGCCCAGTGGCACCCATAGGCTCATGTGGAATGCGAGCCACAGCATGTATGTCAAGTGGCTGAAGTGGCTGCCCAGTGGCACTCATGGGCTCATGTGGTAATGCAAGCCACAGTCACAACTTTGGACATCACTTATTACCAAGTTCATGCTTGAAATCATGACCCAATTGTGACCCGCTCTGTGAAAATGAGTCACGTCTCCACAGCCACTTTTGAGTCAAAGGCCTTTGAAAGAATCTTGCACAGCATTTGAGCAATAGGAATCCTCAACATTTTAACATCTACACAACGCCCATTTTCATCATACCAAACTGAGTGACGCATCAAAAGAAAGAGGTCAAATTCCTCAATCTAATACAATGGAAAAGTCAAAAGTAGCTCTGGAGACTTGTGACTCATTTTTATTGAACGGATCACAATTTATCCAGTTAGTAAGTGCGACGTCACTTCAGTTGAAACCGTGCCCAGATGCCCATAGAGTTACATGGAACCATGGAACTGGAAGTTAATGTGTCCGTCCAGTGGGGAGCCTACAATCAGTAGTGTGTGCATGTGTATGAAAAAGTCACTTACGAACCGGATAATCCCCTGGACGTCTGGGCTCGCGTTGATTGGATCCATTTGCTAGTCGGGATGTGGCATTTGGGAGTGCCCTGCGTTGACTGTGCAAAAATCAGAGAAGGTATTGGGCACTATTTCTCAGTTTAGGCCAGAATTGCCTGTTCATGTCTCTTGGGGTGACACTGGAATTTCCTTCTCAGCAGGTTTGTGATTGGAATGCTTTGTATCTTTTCATTTCCAGGGGCCCCTAGGTCCAGCTGGGTCTCGTGGATCTGATGGGGAAGACGGCAGAGATGTGAGTAGGATGTATGCACCAGTGTTGTAGGTCTCAAGGCCAGTCTAGGTCTTGGTCTTGATACCCAGTGGTCTCAGTCGTGATCTCCAACTACTGAAAGGTTTCAGTATAATGTTGTGCAGTTGTTATATCTGTGTGTGTGCTGTGCAGACCTACCCGAGTCAAACTCGTGGGATGAGCCAGAGTTGCCTGTCCCAGGCTCGTCCCAGGGGTTTGACTCGAGTAGGTTTGCACATCACACACACAAAGACATAACAACTGCATAACATCTACTGAAACCTTTCAGTACTTGGAGATCAGAGTTCAAAAATGAGGTGCCCTGGAAGCGAGTATTCCTGTTTTATCTGAACATTAGTTATGATGAGTAGCACAGTTGGTCGCTCAATGACTTTGTGGCTTGGTTTGATGTTTTTCTTTCAGGGAAGCAATGGCAACCGTGGTTCTGCAGGTGCTCCTGGTCCATTGGGAGCAACGGTAAGCTCAACCTGATTATTTCAGTAATTAAATTGTCACTTAAGTGGTACTTTTCATCACAGTGTGTTGTTTTGGGTTATTTTCAAAAGAAGGAATCTATGACACTGGATGTTACTTGGTTTTGGCCGTATTAAAAATGGTTCAACTATGCAATGTTGAAATGTCAATCAAGGACAGAGAGGTGGGACCCCCATGTGAAGACTTTGGAGGTTTGAGCGTAATAAGTGGTTCAATTTCTCGACTCTGTTCACAGCAGTGAAGAAATCTTTGCTGACAATACCAAAAGATTCTGTGCCTGTGATTCACTCTGACTGCCGGTAGCCAGTATTTTCAATTTTTTTAGCATACTATACAAGTTTGACATAGTGCTCGCCCAGACAGGGAGTCTGCCTGCTAGGATGTGACTCCTTGTGAACAATGCACTCTTTTTTTCTTCATACGTCGAGCCTGTATAGTGCAGCCTGAACCTAGTGGAAGTGAGTTCAATTAAAAAGTGGTTTCCTCCTCTGATTATGGCAGGGTCCAGGAGGAATGCCAGGAGCCCCAGGAGCCCAGGGCCACAAAGGCTGGAGGGTGAGTATCAGCAGCCCTGGGGGTGGGGGAGGGAAGAGGTGACTGAACTTTTCTTCCTCTGCTGTCATCTTTTGGGGATGAGTGTTTAATGACTGTTGTCTCCTAGGTGGTTACTCTCAAGGATTAATGCAGCAGCATTCACCAATACAGAAGCAGAATTGTTGGCACCAAAATTGGGTGTATTTTCTTGTTTTTTTTCCCAACATCCTTTTGTCCTTTGTGTCAAAGCAGTATAGTCTGCCACTGTATGCCACGACATAAACAGCTCCTCCATTTTCATGATCACCCTTGAAAAGAAAAGGACCCCAGGAAACAATTTAGTACATAATAAAAATGTGACTCTACATTTCTATTCAAACTTGAAGCTCCTTAACTTATGCCAGTTCCCATTGCCACAAAGGAGACCTCTTTTTACAAAGCACAAAAACTGTAACAAACTGCTTGCTGGTTTCAGTGACCCCAAATACGCTCATCGAAAAAGACAGAGGTAATGCTGTTTCAATCCGAGCAGAGTGTTTCTGGAGAGGCAAAATGCAAGTAAATGGAGACCAAAAAAAAAGGTTATCTTGTTCAAATGACTTATCTTATTTAAACAACTTATTATCTTGGTTAAATAACTTATTGTCTCATTTGAATGTCTTATTATCTCAAATGAGCTATAATTAGAGATAACAAGATAGTGATATTGCATTCAAATGAGATAGCTGTGTAGTTTAAATGAAATGATAAGTCGTTTAAATGACATAAGAAGTTGTTAAAACAAGTGAAAATAATTTTTTTGTGTTGGCAGCAATATGCTTCCGTACAATCAGGTAGGGAATAAAAGTAAAAAACAAGAACGGATAGAGCTCACACTAATGTTTACAATCGTGCTTTATACCATTAATGGATGTGACCAGAATTGAAGTCTTGACAAAGAAAGGATCATTGTTCAGTATTCAACACAGCCTTAATAATTAACCGTCCTGTGTTTGGCTCGTGTCAATGATCAGGGTGCTCGAGGCAGAAAGGGAGCCATGGGGGATACCGGAGATGTTGGCGACTCTGGTGCATCCGGAGCCACTGGCCCTGCTGGAGCCGCAGGACAGAGGGTGAGGCTTTTTCTTCCTTCTTGCAGTCGGGAGAGAAGAAGCCATCATGATCAAACCCTGTGGTTCAGTCTGAAATACGTCAGTGTCAGGCCATGGTACAGACGCGTATTTAGCAGCTATCTTGTGGCTTCTGTATGCATGTGTGTTATTTCTCACAGCTTTGGCCGAGTCATTTTGGGCATGGCCTGTATCTTATACTCGGATGTACAGTTAAACCCAGAGAGTCAGTGTCTTGATGACCCTTGACCTTGTTATGAACTAATTTAGATGTGTTCGTGCTTGAAAAATAAATAACTGTCTCCATTTGGCATGTATAATTGTCCAAGCTCTTGAAAATTAGGCCAATTAGAATGTGGGAAAAATTGAAATGGCTAGGAACTGATATAACTTCAGATGGCTGTGTTGGTGTCGACACAAAACTTCCAAACTGTCAGAATGACTGGACATTACAATTTCTTTAGTCTAATAAAGTTAACTGTAATTATAAAAAGGTCTCTGAGTAAACCGTCAAAAACTTAAAAGTCTGTGTCTCTGATACCAAAGGCCTGCCACGATTGTTGCACAGTTTGGGGTAAAAACAATCGCTGGGCCCATTAAAGCTTCAATCAATTTAAGAACCTCTTTGGACAACACAGTGAATGACCTGTGTCAACCGCTTCATGATGTGTTGCTTTGAAACTCAGCATATGGATCTTTTTGTGTTCTTTCAGGGTGACATTGGCCCCTCTGGGGAACGAGGAGAGCGTGGAGCCCGTGGTGTTGCTGTACGTTCACATTTGTCTACCTCTTATTGTTGAAAAGTTCATTAACATACATCTTTGGTGGAAGGTCCTTTTCGCAAACATAGAAAATGAATAAAGATGTTTATTTGCCAGAATTGTTCCAAAGACTCCAAGTTCTTGTCAGTAACAGGAGTCCTTGTATTGGATCTGACCTGTAAATTCCTGCTGAAATGATTTTTCATCCCAAATAGCATTGAAAGTTAGGCTTGATCAAGCTCAGAACTTCACTATTTAAATGTCACCCCTATCTCTCCAATAATCTTCCTGAATTCTGTAAAAACTAACCTATGGAGCATTCTTATCGCTTTCACTGCCATCAAGCCTCGTACAGTAGCTTTAGATGTTGGATTAAATTCTCTTTTTTTCTCCTCAAAACAGGGAGTGAGAGGACAAGACGGCTCAGATGGTGATGTTGGCAATGCTGTAAGAACAGACCTTGCGTGTGCCCTCAGTTATGATTCTGAATCAACCAATTCAAACATTTAATTCACAAGGCCACTTCCTAGGACATATCTATTGAAAAAGAATAGTTTTGAAGATCTAAAAAGATTTCGGGAAATGAATGGGAGGTGACAGTGGCTCTCGTACCTATACTCGCTGGAAATGGTCACCGGAATTGAACTACTGGATATTGTCAGACTTTGTGAAGGGGGGGTTTGTTGGATAGAATGTATTATGCATGGCATGTGTTTGCCTTGATGGTTTTGTTCTTGAGTTTGTAAGGACTGCTTACAGAAAACAAGAAAGCAAGACATTGCCAGATGTACTCACAGTAAATGGAACACTTTCTGACTAATTTATTAAGGGCATCACATTTGTAATGTGGGGGGAAATTTGAATTTGAATGGGTGATATTTCCAAATTTTGTTCATCTTCGCTCAAGTGAGCAAGTATAAATCCAGGATGTTTCGGTAACATAACAAAGAAATCTTCTTGGTATTGGTTGTATACAGGGACCCCAAGGTGGTACTGGGCCAATGGGTGCTATGGGAGCAGCTGGTGCCAAGGTGATTGGATGAATCTCTGTTAAATTTCTCCATTTGAAACAATAGTCATTTTCATGTTCATCTTTACATTCGATGTACATTTTCTGAGTAGTCAACACAAAGCATAATTTTGTTGGAAAAATTTAGCGAATTTGCTCACGCAAAAATGTTCATGATCAGACTTTAATTCTGAATAAACTCGTCAAAAGTTGTTAAAAAAGCAGAAAACTATGCAGTGTAACCCAGTGCAAAGATTTGTAAAAGATAATGTGCATCCCCACTTGAAATAAAAAAATGTTTCTTTCGTTGTCGAAATGCTGAGCTTGCTCCTGTGGAAAAACAAATCCAATTTCTCCTTCATTGACTCTCCGACAGGGAGATGCAGGACCTCAGGGTGATCAAGGTATCCAAGGCATCCAAGGTCAGCGTGGTGAGAGTGGATCCGATGGTGCCCCTGGAGCAAATGGTGCCTCTGTAAGTTTGTAATTTATTTTAACAACCTCTTTCACCGTCAAAGACAATAAATCCACTTTTAAAAGTTGCTTATCTTATGAAGGCCCGCCTTACTTGCTCTTTCACCCAAAAAGGCAGTTCTGGCTCAGAGATCGTTTTACTCTTATTATTTGTTGTTTGTGTTATTTTCTAGGGAAACGATGGCCAGGATGGTGCAGCTGGAGCAGTGGGTGACGTGGTAAGCATTTCTCAATCTTGTCCTGCGTGGTAACATCCTATGGTGCTGGTATATAGCACAGTTCCCTTGCTGCTGTGAGAAGATTATATTTGCTGTTCCTGCATAACGTCTGGATATCTAGACATCTGCAATAACGTTGTTACTAGTTCAGTGTTCTTTTTGTGTTACAAGTACTCCCTCACAAGAGGCTTCCAATTACTGATAGAGTAAACTTTTGATGCCGCTGGTACTGTGTGCTGGGGCACAAGCAATGATGCTTCAGATCTGCAAAGGTACTGGTTTGTACACAGTGCCCAACTCACAAACACGAGCACATGATTATTGCTTGCAAGTGCCAGAGTTCTAATCTTGCTTCTAATCAGATGCCTTTCAAGAGTGGACTTGACCCAGTTTATCCTAGATAATGAATGCCCAGGTTTAAATCACTTCAACTTGTTTTAAATCCTGGGAGATGAATAACACCCAATCCCTGCATTTCTCTTTAAGGGAGGAGTAGGCGCTGCAGGACCTGTCGGTGCACCTGGCGCTCGAGGCTCAGCTGTAAGTCAACATTTCTCACTGCCAGCTTTTTTCAATGAAAACTCAGATGAGTCAGTTTCTGCTATAAGCTCGCTTTGTAGTATATCTTTATAATGCTTTCAGACTTCAGCAAGATGTTGACTTTGTTGAAGTCCTCTTGCAGGTCAGGGAAATGAAACCTACCCATACTATAGGCAAACTTCTCAGGATCATAGTCAAATAAGTACAGCAATCCACCTGATCTGCCAGAACATAATTGCTGTACATGAAGAATCTAACTACACAGTATTCTTTAGATGCGCTCTGAGATAATTGTAGTAGTTAGATTTAAAAGTTTCTCCATAATATCAGGCCCAGGATCTGTCTTTAATTCAGAAACACTGAAACTAAGAGTCGTGATTTGTTCTTCCGTGTGGTTGTGTGTAGTACGATAGGTGACAGGCCCCACTCGCAATTAGCAGTAATTTAATGTTTCTGTATCAGAAGTGAAGTATGATGCCAGTCATACTTCACTTGATGCAGTCAGTAGTGTGTTACTTTTGTTGATGCACTCAGGGTGCCCGCGGAGCCACTGGACCCGGCGGTGAGCCCGGTGGCCAAGGCTACCCTGGACTGGCGGGATCTCGTGGTGCTGACGGCTCTCGTGGCGTGACGGTGAGTAGTATTAAATGAGAATTGTGACAAGCCGTAAGAAGGCTGCTTGTCTCAACACTTGTAGCAGGTTGCATATTTTGCCATTTTATGAAGAAAGAAAAAATGTGCATTGGATGTCAAAACCACAAACAAACTGACATCCACAGCTGCTGGTAAGAGCAGTAACTTCCAGTGTTCAAGAACAGAAGCCGGGTCTTCTTATGTCTGTTCTTCCAAGTCACACCCAAAGCCATGGAACCTTTAGAACTAGACAGCTCACATCCTATCCACCTTGAGGAGAAGCTCCCCCTCATTGGTTGACAAGAGCCATGTTGGTGGGGAGTGTTCATTTTGTTGGTAGCAATATGACTGCAACGCATGCATTTCATAGTTATTCGTGGAGCAGCGAAGTTCAGTGTTGACCAAAGGAGCCGCCGTTGCTGAGAAAACTGCGCCCTCTCTTGGTTCAGTTTGTGGCTCATACCAACAATCCATTGCAGATTACATTCTGTAGTGTTCTCCCAAGGCTGCTGCCCCAGTAACCTGTTAGCTGATGAAATGCGCAACTACCTGGTGCTTGGAGCACGTGTGATTCAAACTGGCTATAGTATTTCATGAAGTTGTGTAAAGAACATACCTTCATTATCCTGCTAATGAACCTGTCAGCCTGAAGTTCCCACCCAAAATATCTCCACCTTGCAAAGGGATGGAACGGTTTGGATCATTCATTCATTTCTAAGAGTGTTGTCAGTGCTCTTGGGTCAGTTGCTAGTAATCTAGTGCCAGAATTCTGATTGCCGCTTTTGTTTCAATTACTGTTGTTTAAACTGTTGCCAAAGATGTGCGACCTTCTTTAGTAATTTGCCGAAAGGGTTCAAAGAAACTGAACAGCTCATTTCTTCGTTCTCCTTCGTGATTGTAGGGAGGCCCAGGTCCCCGTGGTGATCCTGGCGTTGACGGCTCTGAAGGTGCTGAGGTAATGCCACCAAAGGGTTAACACAATATCTGTTTTTTTGGGGGGGGGCCCAGACAAACTTTCGTTTCTTTTTTACCTCTTGCTCCTCAATAGCCCTCTGAGTAATGTTTAAGTGCCTTGGAGGTTAAAGTAGACATGTTTAGTATGCTTTGTGTCCACGTGCATCCATTTCAAGAAAATGTCCAGTGAAATTACAAAGGAGTAAAAAGTGGAAAACAGACATGGATGCGGAATATGTCAGTAAAGGTACTTATGGAAGTATCATTCAAGAGTCAAAGGCATGGAAAAAGCCCACAATGGGTGTTTGGAAAAAAATATCTCCATAATTACCTGTAATGATACACCACAGTTGTTGTGACAGTTGGATTTCTATTCTCATGTCATACCTGAAGCATCTCCATTGATAAGTCTCCATGTTGATGCTTGTCTCACTTCACACAGGGTCCTGACGGTCCTGTTGGTTCTACTGGTCCCCGTGGACCTGCCGGTGCCCGTGTAAGTGTTGCTTTAGTTTCTTATCTAGTGACAACAACGTGTTATAACTTAGCATTTTGACTTTTGTTCATTGTCGCTTATAGTTTGGAGTGACCTTGATCATTTATCCTGTTTGCATTGCTGAATTCCCAATTACTGTGAAAATTAATCTGGAGAGTTGACGCCATGGTGTTGATGAGGAGAGCGAACACACAGAATTGGCGTTTGTCTGTTTGGGCCTTGGACCAATTTGAATTGCACTGCTGTCGTGCTAACTTGGCAAGAATCAGTTTCTCACCAACTCCAAGTGGTGTACTTTATATGATATCTCACTGGTGCTCTCGACTATGCAAATTTGCACTTGTACAAAACTCTGAATGCACATAAATACCCTTAAAAAGTGGCAAAATCATCATTGAAATTTGGGTTGTGAATGGGACACAGTATGTACATTAAAAGGAACACAGGCCAAGCAAGTTAATCGTAATCAGCTGTCACTCTTATGACTTTTAAAAACCAGCGCCTTGTGCGTTTAGAGGGTTGGGACCATTATGTCAAGGACTTGTAATGTACGTGTATTTGTTTTGTCCATTGGAGTCTCTCAGTCCGGCCTCATGCTGCTGTGTATAACAATTTGGTCCATACCCTGTGGTATGGCATGGGGAAACCTTTTGGAAGAATTATTCAGCTTGTTATTAAGGCCTCATCAGGGGCCAGTTTTACCAAGCTGTTAAACCACCCTGGTTCACCACATGTCAATTGGACTTGGTACCCAGGTTTTATTAAGTGAACAGGTAACCAGGGAAAATCAACCAGTAAGTGACGTATGGGCTGCATCCGAATCTGTTGTGTAAAGTGAGGTCTAGGTCTTCTCTCCATTGAAAGCACCTGGAGACGCCCAGACAGTAGACTTAGCCATAGCTCTGGAAGCCCGTCTCGGACACGGCCCATGGTTGTTACTTGAACTTGTACATGGCACAAACACATTGCCATCCCAAATATCAAATGGTGTTGCTCTTAACTCTAACATAAATGTTAAACCTATTTTTTTCCGAAGCTTTATTTTTAGGCAGTATTTCTACTTAATATATATTGGGAATTTGGCCATTGCCCCTACTCGAAGTATGTAAACAGAAGTAGATCCATGTCTGGCTTTTGAAAACTTCTAACTGGAGGGAACTGTCTATAAAGGATAAGTATAAAAGGCAGTTCTCTCCATCAGAGATGGTTTATGTGAGTTGTCGTTGACGATCCAGTTTTTCCTTGTTTGTATTTTCATAGGGTAGCATTGGATCCCCAGGCCCGGGTGGTCCTGCTGGTGCGATGGGAATGCGGGTGAGATTTCAGGCTCTTTGATATTTGCCATGCGACTTTTATTAATAGCAGAGTTCCCAAGAGCTGTTCGATTTTAAAGAGTTTGGTCAATTAAATTGTGCACACGTCTGTTTTCAAGTGCATTTTTCTCTTTAATCTTTGTGTAAGGCTGCATCTTATTGCGCTGTCTATCGTGTACCAGTGTCATGGTTGAGTAGAGCACAAATCTTCCCAAGTCAGTGACAAGTCGCCCAGTCCTAAGTCAAATCTTGGGCTTTCTTAACAAGCTGCAAGGGATTTCCCTCTTATTTGCTTTCTCCTATTTCGTGCTCCACTTGTGAATTAGTTTGCAATCTAGTTGTGATGGCTGTGACCATTAAAGATGTGCAATCAGGAAAGAATGCAACATTAAACAAGGGGTAACTCGAGGTTTTACCCAGAGGCACCTCACAAAATCCTGTAAACCTCGTAAAACTTCAAGTTGCCTCTTAATTTTCAATTTGTCCCTTACATACAGATGTATTAATGTGAATCAAATCAGCAAGAATCCCGAAATGCCTTCTTAGGAAATGCAACAAATAACTTGTTTTTCTCCCATTTGAAAAATGTACGTAACTGTTTCCTTCAGTTGTGCTCATAAAGTTGCACTTCGGAACGACAGTTGGTTGCTCAGAAACGGTAGACCTCTCAGACAAGATTCAGCATTGAAAGTCTGGTTTTCCAGATGACAAGCCACTGTTGAAGAGCTGAGCTGACTTGCAGATATTTGTAGATACTCCAAGACATTAGCCTTGGTGCATCTCCGTTGGGCCTTTGATGAAGAAAACATGTTTCATCAGAACCATCTCTGGAACCATCTTACACGCCTTGAATGTCTCTACTAATATGTAAAGACTTTGACCTTACTGAATCAATACCAAGGAGAAAACGCTTTTTTCTCTCACGGTCCATGTTGCCAACTGCCAAAGTGTCCATGCTGTCTGCTCTGTGCAAGTACTATTGCGGACACTTTCTTTTTTTCTTTCTTGTTTTTCTTTGCAGGGCGATATCGGGGGACAAGGTAGCACCGGTCTTGCAGGAGAAAAGGGAGATGCGGTAAGAAAGTTTCATGATAAATAATGGATATTATTCATGAAGTTATAATTGGAGTGATACAAACACCTGTCCCTCAAGATTAATTGTATATAGTGCTTTTTTCATGATGAGATTTCTATGAAATTAATGCTTTCCCGACTTCATGTGCATGTCTTCAATTTAAAGTCGAAGTGACAGGCTGGCGGTAGCTGAATACAGTTCCAACACCCCGAATGGGATGGGGTGTTTCAAGCACCCCACCATATTTGTCTGGTGCTGTTCTCTTGTTCAATCAGAGGGGCAGGAACCTTGTAAGAGTGTTATCCATTGAACAAAAGGAAAATGCACATGCTGTCTGAAACGAAAAGATACTTCAAAAATTATGTCCTCTTTAAAAGTGGGCATTTTTGGGGGCTACAAATTTGACTAAAGATCCATGTTTTTTCCCTTATGTGTTTTTTTTTTGCTTTTAGGGCAACCCAGGACAATCTGGAAATCCTGGAGCCCCCGGACAAATGGTATGATTCTAATTTGCTAAAAAAGTTTTAGCGGTTTTCCAGAGGGAAAAGTTAATAGCACTGTCTTCTTGTGTTTAAAGTTTTTCCCTTGATTTCAAGCATGCAACTTTTTCCTCAAATCAGCTGATTTTCTCGTTTTTCAACTCAAATTCATGCCACTAAAAATGAAAAAAACTGTATGCAGTCTTGTAAAGATCGGAATTGCCTCCTGTTTTTGTCAAAGACCAAGTTGCGTCCCGCACTGCCAAGCCAGGTGAGAAACAGGGAGACATAAGGGATGGCTAAGTGCCATTCTTGGCGCATGAATAACACTCAAGCAATGACGTTGCAGTCTCGCAGGTGTTCAGAGGAAAATGAGCAAAGACCCCACAAATGATGTCAAGTGTTTGAAGTTCTGCATGGTGGTGCCGCATACAGGGATGGGTCGTTTCCTGGGTACAGCAAAGGAATAGTCTCTCTCAGGCAGAGATGTTGGCTCAGAGGGGAACCGGAGGAGAGAAGGATGCTCTCTTCATTTGGAAGAGTTTCAGGAATGAGGATGAAGCATGCACTCATAGTGTGCTCACAAAGAACACTTCCCTGAATGATCATCCTTTGGTTCTGGCACTGAGCACATGGCATCACCACACTGTTTATTGCATGGGATTTTCCTCTTTGAGTGACGTTTTGTTGCTTCCAGGGTTCTCCAGGATCGGATGGTCGCACTGGAAATGACGGAAAGCCTGGACCACCTGTAAGTATTCCTTTGCATACAGAGGGCACTTTGGAGTCTTTTGTCAAGGGGCTGATTATCAGGAAGTGATAAAGCTCAGTAAATTCACTTGCTAATCAGTGATAGGCTTATAATCAGGAATATTATAATAGGAAACCACTTCCTGCCAATACTGAGAGGCAATTTTTTGGTTGTTACTTTCCTTCCAAAAGAGTACAGAGCCTCCCACATGCAACCTTCCCCCCCCCCGAAAAGCCATTAAAGGTTGTTTGAAAAAAATTCCAAGGATATGGCTCTCTAGAAAAACAAGTTCCCCCCCCTTCTGAAAATTTGCTTCTGCCCTTCTCCTGAGCTGAGTAATGTTAGGAGGTTTTTTAGAAAAATGAGTTTGAAATAAGTCTGTAGAATTTATTATGATTTTGCACTTGTGATCAACATCTGAACAGAGACCAACATGCCAACTCAGCTTATTGAAAGGCCAAGCTGGCCTCTGTTTTCCTTAGTAAGACTGACGGCAGCATGTTGTTCAATGGCTGTCTTTGTTCTACAGGGGTCAGCAGGAAGTGACGGGAAGCCTGGACCACCAGGACCCAATGTAAGTTCCATGGGTTCAGGGGCCAATTTCATACGGCTGCTTAAGCACAAAATTTGCTTATGCGTGAAAAAAACTGGCTTGATAAATCAAGTAACCAGCCAAAACTCCATGTGATGTATATTGTTCTGGGATTTTATTTAGCTGTTTTGGGGTTAGCATGACAGTCAGATAGAGTTTGAGCTGGTAACCTTAGTTTATTAAGCAAAGTTTTTTCCGCTTAAGCCAGTTTTGTGCTTAAGCAGCTCTATGAATTGGCCCCAGAACTGAGCCAGGTTTGGGTTCTAAGCAGCTGTCATGGAATAGAACCCCGACCCAGATTCGTTTCATCTTTACCCCTCCCTCTCCCTTTTCCTTGTCTCAAACCCTTCCGAAAAACTTGGAAATTCCTTCCAAGAGATGGGGTTAGATTTTTTGAATCTCACATTTCAGGTTGACTTCTGCTCCCCAATCCAAACACAAGAACAGCACCCAGTAAATATTTGTATCAAGCAATGACATCTTGAGAATTCTCTGTCTATCCAAGGGTATCCAAGGGGCAAGAGGTTCAGTTGGACTCAATGGAGCGCCAGGAGCAGGTGTAAGTACCTTTTCCATCCCATCTGGAGACATGGGTGTCGTTCAGGTTTTATCTAAGGGTGAATCAATCATGGAAGGGGGGTCTCACTATTCCTTTTGTTTTTGAGAAATGAGCATTTGTATACCCTGTACTGTTTCTCTGGGTCAGTTGTGTGTTTCCTTCAAATTGCATCTCACCAAGTAATGTTAAGTTCCTTTCTTGTTGACTAATTTTTACCAGAGTTGTGTCCATATTAAAGAATACTCAAATTGTGTAAAACGGATCTTCATATTTCCAACAACATTATAATCCAAACCCAATCTGACTTTACCCATGTCATGTTGTAAATGTTATTTTTTGGCCCTTTTATTCTGACAGGGAGAAGAAGGAAGGACGGGATCCCCCGGAGCCACTGGACCAAGAGGCGCTGCTGTAAGATTCCTTCAGAATTCACCAATTTTCAGCTTTTTTTGTTGTCAAAGCTTTTTAAAACTGAGTATAGTAGAGTTGGTTTTTTTTTAATTGTCATGTCATCCAAGGATCTTGATATTCGGTAATTGGATTGAAGAAATAGAATCTAAAGCAACAAATGGTGATTTTCTTGGACAAAGATTGCAGGAGAAAGTTATAAGAATCTATGCACATGTAGGCATTCTTTGAAAGGCATTGACTCATATTGGTCAAAAGCAAAGCTTGTAGCTAGGGAGTTCACTGGGATGCTTTCTGGAGGTAAAAATGGCTCACTTCATTTGCAAAATTACAATCAAATAGACCGATTGTGCCCGCTAAATAATGTGACCTATAACGGATGTCAACCCGTAGCTATGTGTGTGTTGAGTGTTGTTGACAAACAATAAAGCCAAGTTAAGGTGTAGTACCCAACACATCAGTAGTCTGAGTACAGTACCAGCCATGGGCTTTATTTTTGGTAAATGATGCAATGAAACACTTCACTTTTGGTGGACGCCATATTTGTTGGTATGTACTACCGACTATAGGTCACGTGACTTAGTGGGCGCCATCGGTCAGATGAACTACTCACTGATATGTATTTTTCAAAGGTGCCGTTGTAAGGCTGCAAAGATTTCCGGATGAATTGCATACAAAGTTTGCTCGTTGTTTCATCAGGGTACCCCTGGAGACATTGGACCTCAGGGCCCAGCTGGACCTGCTGGAGCTCAAGGTGCTCGTGGAGATGCCGGACCACAGGGAGCTATCGGACCTGGAGGAACCAACGTAAAGCTTCTCTCACTTGTTACTTTGACTCTCCATTAGTCTGCCTGTGTTTTCAGTCGTTTCTACTGTATTTTTAGCAACACTCAGGATTGTTAGTCAAATTCCTATTGGTCCATTCACCAGGCTCACACATAAGGATCAACTTACACGTCAACTATGCGTGTGTTGTAAACCATCCCTTGGCTTACCCTCACTATAATCTACTTTTGTATTGTGTATCCATTCTGCAAAGCGATTGTGGAACTTTCACATAGTAGTAGTTACTTGTCTGAACATAAAGCCTTACTACGTGTGAAGAGAGAATAAGTCATATAAATACTGAGCAGCATTTTCCTTTACTGTTGTGATATTACTTACATCCTATGCTCAAGCACATTGTGTCGCATATTTTGCCAGGGTGGAGTTGGGGCACCAGGGCCACGTGGACCCCAGGGCAAACGCGGTGCTCCTGGTGTCGGTGGACCCGCAGGACAGGAGGGACCTCAGGGAATGAGTGTAAGTCCATCTTTTCGCACTGGAAGTGTTCTTTGACTGATTGTCACCTGTAAAAAAATCGGATATATCACAGGATTGTTTTATAAGAATTTCACGAACTGCCTCGAACGCTTGCCTTGGTAGGCATGATACATTTAGCTTGAATCATATTTAATGTTTACAAAGATTGCCTGAAAATATTGCTTGGGACTTATCATTCTTTTAGGGTGACCGTGGTGCTCAAGGACCAATGGGCTTGGCTGGAGCTACAGGACCAGACGGTGATGCTGGGGTTGATGGACGTGATGGACGCGACGGAGAACCAGTAAGTTAATCCTATGCTCTCGTGATTTCGTGATCTGCTTCTACCTAACACGTATGGGCTGCACAGCAATATGAACCGATTGGTACCAAACTAGGGTGCATATCTGATGCTGTTAAGTAAAACACAATGCAAACCCAAACCTAGACATATCACACAGATCCAGATCGTAAATTTTCCAATGCCCTTAAACATGTCTGAAACCTCTGGTTGTAAGTTCTTGGCACCCACTTGCATCCATCGCTGTTACCCTTTACGCTGGCTAACACCCTCAAGACGGCATACCTTTCAAGACCTTCTTGTGATGTAAAAATCGGGGGGGGAGAGGCAGTGATGGGGCCTCTTGGAAAAACACACTTGGCCTCCATAAATTATCCCTGACAGCAAAACTCTCCCCTAAAACATTCAAACAAAACATCAGAGCTCCTGCTTTCCGCTGACAACAATCTCATTGTTAACCCTTACCCTCCTCAATCCTTCACCTGTTGGAGGACTGAGGAGTGTTAGGGTTAATTGTTAATTAACCCTTCTGTATGCAAGCATTCAACGTAGACAAGTCTGTACCTGCAGGCAAAATTGACATGTAAATGTGACTTGTGTATGTACTGTAGCAGGGGAAGAGGACTGAATTTGTAATGGTGCTTGTCAAGTAGGAAGGTTAATCTTTCAAACGATAGTACTGACAATCTTAACACGTCAGTTAACTTTTTAAAAAATTTTACCAGGGTAGTCCCATCAGTTGTCAATGATCTTTTATCCCTGGGCAGCCCTGAGTGTTCTCCCAGAGGGCCCAGGGACAAATGCATTTACAAGAGAAGAAAAAAGCTGAATCAGGAACGCTAGTCGTTGAAAACTCAAATGGAGTGCAAAAATAGGGGACAGTGAAGAATCTGCTTTCACTGCAGAGGATAATTTGTTTTTCATTCTGTAGGGTGACAAGGGAGCCTCTGGTGATGTTGGACGTATAGGAATCCCGGGCCTTCCGGTAAGCTTACATCAGCATGTTTTTTAACTTCGAATATGCCACTGATTCTCTTTCTTTACAGAGCATTTGGTCCCCTCCACGTTTCTCTCAAAAATCACCTTTATGTTTGCCTCTGATGACCACTTTGGAATGATTTTCATCTGTGGAAGAATGAATACTGATGTACCGATTTCTTCCAGATTTATTTGGTTTCCAACTTCCTGAGGGATAGAGATTTTAGTGTCTACTTTCTACTGGTCAATCTCTGTGGCCGGGTGGCCTAGACAGGCTCTGTGCATTACTCACCATTTCACATGAGCAAGAAGTCAAATTTCCATGATCTGTTCCAGCATTTGTCAATTAATGCTCAGATCATTTGGGGTTTTTGTAAAAATGTGAAAGATAAGATGTTCTGGTGAATTAAAATCCTCCTCTTTTCATGAGTTTTCATTTTAATTTGCAGGGAGCCCCAGGTGACCGAGGTGGTGCAGGAGCCAGTGGTAATGTCGGAGCTCCTGTGAGTACCAATTTGAATCCGTCAGAAAACTATCCCCCAAAATGCCCATAGCTATGTCCACGAAATTATATTCTCTTTTGAGATCAGAGATGCAAGAACGAGTAATTGATTGGAAACTTCAGAAATGTTTCATAATGTTATATATGTAAAAAGAAAAAGGTTTTCTGCAAATAAACTTGATATATATCCGGTATTTATTCGGCTTTGCCTTGGGAATGTCAATTTTTATAGCAGGTTGCCCTTGAAATTAAACCTGTGTCTGTGTTTCCATGGTGAACTTGAGGCAAATGATCTTTTGTGTTCTTAGGGAGCACAAGGAGCAACGGGTCAGCGTGGATCAGCCGGGCAGCCAGGTGAAAGGGTAAGCAACAAAATGCTTGTGAGCTAGGAGTCCTTAACCCCTTCACGGCAGGATTATTTTGACCGCGACTGCTGGGTTTAATCGTGCCCTGAATGGAGGGCTTTGTCCAGCAGCAGGCGCCATTGAACCAGCAGCTGCATGGTGAATAGACTGTATGTGTGGTATGCACTAATCCTCACACATAGGTGTTGCAGTAACGGTCATCTGTAGCGAAGGGGTTTAAGCACCAATCTGAAAAGTTCTACTGCTCAACAGATCAGTGGAATCCGTTGTTTGTTCATCAACCTAGATAGAAGAAATTTTTTTCCCCCAGCATTAACTAACTTGACTTAAGACATTGGCATTCTTGAGTCCTGTCTTGTCATCCGCGTGATGGAGCTTTTGTCTTGAACCAGTCTGCTTGTCTCAGGGAATTCAATCCTAGTGTGACGTTCAAGCATAGATCAAGGAAGATTTTAAGATAGTTTCTCTTTTCTTTTTGAAGTGGACTTTTGTCCTAGCCTAGCCAGGCATCTGCTTGCACATGAATAACGATGTGGTTTTTTAAAGATAGATACAAAAAAAAAACAACGGACACATATCGGAGACAGTTGTGCCCAATGAGGCAAATGTGGAAAAAAAATCCAAAACAAAAATCCAGTCTTGCTGCAAGTTGTTTCGCTTTTGAATCCAAAACTTTACAAAACTTTTCAAAGCTGAATACAAGTACATTTGCATTCTTTTCCCAACAGGTCTTGCCAATAAAAAGATTTCAAACTCTGACAGTGGTTAGATATATACAGAATGAAAAGTACAAGGCCTTGGTAAAATGCTGTTGCTACGTTACATTTTTGACTTGTGAAAGGATCACATTTGAATCTGTGACAGAGTTTGTGTCTGTGTAGTTGTGCGTTCATTTGCCGGTCACACAGTCATTGGACAGGTTTTTATTTGTTTCAATATATGTATGATTGCGGTGACATTGCTGTACATGTTAACATCAACACTTAATTGGTCTTGTTCCCTGTCTTGTTTCAGGGACCCCTTGGCCCCCCCGGACCAGGTGGATCTCCTGGACTGAGAGGAGATGCGGTATGTTCATTGGTCTATTTTGCATATCTGTCTGTCTGCATCTTCCTTATTCAAATGCTCTCTGCTGGTCTCTCTGTTGTTTTCTCCTGTTTTGGCTCCCTTTATAGGGCCATAATTTCGGTTTAATGTCCTTATTCCCAAAAAAGTCTCCATAAACTCAAACATTTTACTTATATGCATGCCACTCTCAGGAAAACCTTTCCATCGAGCATCACTTTTGGTATTTGGTAAAGTGGAAGCTTGAAAAATCCATAATAATCCTACATTTGTTTGCTTTTTAAACAGTGTTTGTAATATGCCAGTTGCAGTTACTTGATCAAACAAGAGATGTGACAAATTTTTAACAGCCAATGTAAAGCAAAGTGGGAGAGCAGCAACTGCCTTTTTATCATTTCGCCAAGAAGAAATGGAAATGATTGTATTTAATTGAAAAGTGAGAAAAAAGGAAATGCTGAAAGTTGGCCGAGAGTTCACAAAAGTTCTTGTATTGCTCTAGGGAGGCATTGGCCGATCTGGACGAACTGGACCTCCTGGACCTGATGGCAACCCTGTGAGTAAATTTCTTAAAGGGACCTTTAGAAACCAATGAATGAATAAATGATTAACTACCGAGAAGTATTAAGAAAGAAAACAACCAAACAAAGAAATCTAGGAATTCTTTCATAGCACTTTTAAGCAGAAGATGCCACTGGGTTTACTTATACCCTAAGCCAAAAGACAACAGTGAGCCAGTCACAAGCATCATATACTGCATGGCATTTGGTTGGCTGGTTCCCTGCTATATCATTAAAGTTTCAGCGTTCTTAAGATACCCACTTTCTATTTTAGATGCAGCATGCATATGTCACGTTGAAATGTTTATGATCATAGAAACGTCAATGTAATTGGTAAGCAAAATTCTGTAAGAGCGGAGATCCGCAGGCAAAATAACGGAGAAATTTCGGAAACCTTTTTTGAACTGTAAACCTTGAAATTTCATTAGGCCACTTTTCGTGAGTACTGAGGACACCACTTAGTAATCAACAAATAAGTTTGGAAAAAATAGGCTGGTTTTGGAAAACTTCGGAAATGGGAAGAATTCCTCTCATTTTTAGCCTGACTGTGGTGGCTACCAGACATGGGCGTCAATCCGGGGGGATGGGGGTATATTTCCACCACTTTTTTTTAGGGGGGAGGAATGGGCTATGGAATCATCTCCCCTTGTTTTCATAGCAAGGAAAAAAATTAGGGAGGTGTGTGAAAAATTTTTTGGACTTCCCACAACCAAAATGTCAAAATCAAAAAGCAAGAACACTAAAAAAGCAATAAATATGTTGTTCTGATCTAAGATTCCGAAGGAATGTAATATACATTACAGATGTATATCTAAATGCACATTGGCCTTATATAGTCACATTTGGTGCCAGCCTTCCCCCGCCTTTCAAAATTCACCAATTTCCGGAACAAATTTATGCTGGTTCTACTAGACCTTGAAATAAATTTTGGCCTTGGAACCGGAAAGGGCATTTTGGCCCATGACCTGCTATTGCCAAGCAAATTTTTTTGGATTGTTTCATTTCCCGCTGTATGACCATCTGTTTATTTTCGGACTATTTATTTTTCAATACAGGGTGAGAGAGGCAGAGCTGGCGACCGTGGAGCTCAGGGCATCCCAGGAGGACAGGTAAAATTTTATTGTTGGTGTTTATGGCATCAAATTCCCTTTCTTATGTCATTGTCTTAAACTAGAAACTGACCTGTATAATATTAGAACTGTTTAATCACACTAGTGAAAATTAAGAACAGACGAGGGGACGCTGGTAAGCACTTGGAACTCATTCTTTATAGACCGATTCGCTGACGCTATCACTTGTTGTGTCTCCAACATTCAGCCATGCATTCCTAAACGACACATCTTGCTCCCACTGCCTGATGAGGAAACATTCAACGTGCATCTCTTTTGTTCACACACGTGAAGACACCGCAGTAATGGCTGCTGATTCTTGTCACAGTCTTTAAGTAAAACCTTCCATTCCCTAATCAGTCCAGACAATTGTGTTGAATGTTTGTCTGCAGGGACCACAAGGAGCAGATGGAGCTCGTGGAGAAAAGGGACCCAAAGGAAATCCTGGTGATCAAGGAGTCCAGGGATCAGTGGGTGCTCCAGGCCGTACTGGCGCTCCTGTGAGTAAATAACATGACATGCCATCGCTTTCTGAGAATTCCCTTAGAGGGACAAGCAGCTCTCGTTCGCATCTGAGGGGATATCACAGGATCGTGTTCTTCATCGAATTGTATTCAGCACCCTGGAAGATTCTCCTAGTTGGGTTGACAAACACCATTTCACCTTTCTTGGCCAAGACATTCGAGTTCAGAGTACAGATGGTCTCAATGTGCTGGCAAACATTTTGTAGTACCTTTAATCTTTTGTGGGAATGAAGCAGAGTTCCACAGTATTGATGAAAATACTAATCTGATTGCTTGATTTCAGGGAGCCACTGGAGCCCAGGGAGCACGCGGGGAACCAGGCGAATCGGGACCATTGGTATGTACATACCTCGTGCTGGAACCTGTTGAAGTCAGTGCATAAGATGAACGATGGGTGTCATAGGCCAGGTTGCCATTTCTGTGCCTGTCATGGCCTGGGCTGGTTTTGTTAGGGTGTTACGATATTCGCATCAATCATTTGTGTCATTTCATACCTGAGAATTTTGGATTGTCAGTAATTGCTCACTGTAGTCTGTCTGTTAATGCCCATAATGCTGACTGTTTCTAATCTTTAGCCTTGATTTTGAATTTCAAAGGGCATCGGTGGAAATTCTGGACCAGTGGGACTTCCTGGACCCAGTGGTGCACCCGTAAGTAGAAATCTAGAAATCCATTCAGATGTCATGAAGCTGCATAAAGTGGCAGGATTTGGTAGAGGATGAGTTTTCCTGTTTAACAATCAACAACGTCACTCGTTTCTTTTGTCTTTGCATTCAGGGATCGCGAGGAGAGGTTGGACCGCCTGGACCAAGTGGCAAATCAGGTGCACCTGTGAGTGTGACCTTTTTTTGTGTTTTGTTTTGTCTTTTTTTCCTGGGTGTGTTTTGATTTTGTGATTGAGACTTAAAACAAACAAACAATCATACAAATTGAATGGGAAGCAGGGTGCGTTGTCCAGAGTCTGCGTGAGGGACCAAATGCTGCAATATTCAGAAAGACGGCCTGCTTCAGCTTCACTGCAAATCTCTCTGTTAATGACAAGTTGAAATTCAGCCTTTTTCAAGCTCAGCATGGATTATTAGTGGAGGATCAAGCCATGCAAATATCAAGAACTGAGAGTGCGCTACATTTGCAAGTTCTTGATCTGTGGAGAAAAATAGAATTCTTTCCAATTGTTTGCCAAAAATATGAGAGGTTGAATCTAAAACAACAAATGCGTAAATGAGCATGGCTTCGCTTGCAGTCCTACTGCCATTATTTTTCTGATAACCCGCGCCAAGTAAATCCATGTTGTTTTGAGACAGTTTAACCTATAAGTTCTCAATTGGCAGCTTAATATGCATTCCACTGTGATGGCAGAACCTTTTGGAAGCCACTTTCACCTTAGATATGGTTGCTGATGAAGACAGTGATCCTTGCTTAGCTGTTGACTAAAGATAAGTACATGTACACCTGTCTTTCTAGGGTCAACGTGGTGAGACTGGTTCTTCAGGCCCAGCAGGTATCCGTGGTGTCGCAGGACCCCAAGGACCTTCCGGTGCACGTGGTGACGACGGCAGGAATGGAGCAGATGTAAGTACTGTTCGATGCCCGGTTTAAATTGATGCGAGAAGCAGTTCCTGCAAAGCCAGAATTTCTCTTATGCACAGTAAGTACTTCCTTTGGGGACAGGTCAAACCAGCTTTTAGCCATTAGAAAAAATCTCTGAAATATATAGTCCAATAGAGAAAACGTGCAAATGTGACACAAAAGCAGTGTTGTAGTACTCGTACTCGAGTACTACTCAAGTACCGTTTTCAGAGTACTCATACTTGTACTCGGACATCCAAGTACTCGTACTTGAACTACAGTCCTTGTACTTGGGCTACAAAATACTCGGAACTCCACATCCAAAAATTGTACTCGAGCATCAAAGTACTCGTACTCGATTAACAGTATTCAATAAAAAACTCCTTTAAGTTAACTTACCACAAACGTTAAAATAAGGTACAGAAATACGGTTCTGACAAAGAGAAGGCCGAACGTGGAACCATAAACGTATACGACCCATTCGCCGTCTGTGTGAGTACTTAACCAATCACGTACGCAAATTATATTTATTAAAAACTTAGTCATTGTAAAGAACTTGCCACCATTTCTGTTGCTTTGTGAGAGGGACATTGCCAATGAACTGCAGTAAAAATAAACAGGAGTTGTTGCCTTTTGTTTGGGTGTCTCACAAAAGATTACAAACTCCCGGAGGTGCATTATTGTGAATCGTCCATATTATAAGGGGATGAAAGTTGTGGAGTAGCCAAAACGAATCATTGTGAAATTGTGAAGTAGCCAAAACAAATCTTTCACTTCTGCCTTTCATAGAAACAGTTCTGTACTAGGCAAAATCCCAGTGACTTCAAGTAGTTAATACTATGCAGGTAAATACTTCTTGTTATTAACTTGACAACTTAACTGGTTCTACAATTTGTGCTTCTTGCAATGGTTCAAATTATTTTTTTTTAACTCTACAGGGAGCTCCCGGTCCTGCTGGACCACAAGGCCCAGCTGGAATCATCGGAGAAATCGTAAATATCTCATTTTTTTCCATCATAGAAATACCCTTGCATTAACTGTGACATGCCAACCTAGCAAATCGAGTGTGGACCTCTATGTATGTAAGGCCGTGTCTGAAATGGACTTCCAGTGCTTCAGCTAGGTCTATTGTCTGCTCGTCTCCCCGCATTTCCAATGGAGCGAAGACCTAGACCTATCTCTAGACAACAGATTCGGATGCAGCGTATGTCTGTGTAATGCAGGTTGTGCACACAAGGTTATCCCCTTTCAGGAAAGTAGTTTTAGAGGATTAGAGCTACCTACAGCAGAAGGAAGAGGAACCTTAGAAAAGTAGAGAAGACACATCTTTGCATATTTCTTTTATCCTTTTACTGTAGCAAATCAAGAAACGTCAGGTGATTCTTTTTATTGACTTGTTTCTTTACTGAATGTCTGAGTGATGAAACTTGTATTGATCACTCTTTCTCTTCAAATGTTTCCCCTAGGGTGGCATGGGAGCAATGGGAGCCCCAGGACCGACTGGCCCTGCTGGACGCCCTGTAAGTACTACTCATGGTTAATTGGCTTTTTTTTTTCACTTTACGAACAAGTTCTTAAACCTTTCCAGATTGAAATTCAGTAGTATTGAATTGTTTGATCTGGAATTATGGCCTGCCACTCATTTCTTTACTTAATTTGTTTCAATTCCTGAATTGTTTTATAATTATAGCCAGCTCCAAGATACATTAGTGGATGCCGAGTTCATGCAGTTATCTTTCCACATATTGTAGATGGTGTAAGCGCCAGAAAGGTTGTGATTCAACTTTTGAGAAACACATGCACCTATGTGCTTCGGTTCAAACGGTGGACAGTGAAGGTGGCAGGGATACACAGTTACAACAGCGATTGGTTTGAATGATGACTTTGCTTTTTTTGCATTTATACCAGGGTGCTGATGGAGCCCCAGGTAAACGTGGCTCTCCTGGATCAGACGGTGCTCCTGGATCCTCAGGAGTCCAGGGTCCCAAGGGACCACGCGGACCCACCGGATCTGACGTGAGTTTACTCTGAGAATGAATATCTTCTAACATATCTGAACAGTACGCGGACCTTACAGTCCTCACATGATACACAGATGCAGGCACTGTTCACTGGGCTACATTTTTGTCATGAGGCCACCCGTGAATATGGCTTGAATTCATTATGTGGAGTCACTAAACTTGTTGAACTTGGCACAGTTTCTTGCTTAGCAAAAAATCAACTGATGAGATGAGGGTCTAGTTTTATTAACCCACTAAGCACAGAAACCTCAGCACAAAATAAAATTTGTTGTCAGCAGCTTGGCAACATTTGTATAACTCCCTTCCTGACTAGCTTTGAAATAATTGAAGCAATAAGTGCCCTAATCTGGCATTGCCAACCGCATTTATTTTCTGACTCTGCAATCAATTTGTCATTTTTGTGATTGCTTAAACCTGCTGATGATTGCTTCCCAAAGGGCAGAGACGGTTCGGATGGAGCAACGGGTGCCAAGGGAGGAAAAGGACCTCAAGGTGACAAGGGACCTCAAGGACCCCAGGGAGCAGCTGGAAGTGCCGGAATGCCTGTAAGAGTTACTTGAATTTCGCTTTTTGAGTTGAAAGTGTTACAGAGTACCGAAGCGAATACGTCACGTGCACAATAAGTGTGTAAAAGGCATTAGCGCGATAACCAGCGCATGAACCAACACGCGCACGTACTCCATTCGTTTGCACTGCACTTTCTGGTTCACAGTGATGTCGTTCGGTACTCTATCGTATACATAAATCACAGTCATATCTTTTGTTTAAAGTTAGGTTTTATAGGGCAGAGACGGATGTGGGGAGTAAGTTTCTACAGCAGTGTCCTGCACCCATCCCTCATTTTCAAAATGCCTGGATCTGTTCCTGTACAGTTTGTAGGGACGAAAGCAGCACCTATGTAGACTGAAGAATTCTTCTACGTGAATGCTGGAATGGAACTAACTGGGGGACAAACTTTTGGGACTATACGCCCTTTGATAAGTAGACCTGTGATCTTGACTTGCAGAGCAAATAACGATGCATAATTTCAATGTTTTGTTACTGATTGTCATGCTGTGCCACTCTTGTGATTCCTTTTGCCAGGGCCGACAAGGACCAAGTGGCGGTCCAGGTGAGCGTGGAGCTCGTGGACCTGCTGGACCAGCTGGATCAAGAGGCAGCCAGGGACCCGATGGTGACATGGGACCGGCTGTAAGCATTGTCGTCATTGCAGAATTATCCTGTCGTTTCTTTTATGTTGCTGCGACAGCCTACATTTGTTGGTCAGAATAGATTTTCACTTGTTCGTCTGTTGGTTCGTTCACAGGGACCAGCTGGACCTGCTGGCGCCCGAGGAGAGACAGGTGCAACTGGCGCCCAGGTGGGTTCAACATCTCAATGGGGATAGTTAGCACAGTGAGGAACTGTGATGATGATCTTGTTTTCCTTAGAACCCTTTATATCCTTCCCACATTTTATAGTCAGCAATTTCTTACCTTATAAAGCAGGTGCAAGACTACGTTAAATACTGTATTCAATTGTACTGCCTTAACTACATGTATAATTGTCTTATTTCCATTGTTGCTTACAAGCATAAACACCGTAATTTGCTGAAAAGAGCCCGTGGCTCATGTACTTTGATAAAACAGAAAACCTTCAAGGAGAAAGAAAACCCAAAATAATTTTTCAGTTCGACGAGCAGTAGTGTTGGAAGTCCTGTAAAAACCGTAGAAGGTGCAGGGTTTGATACTTGGGATGCATAAGTATGTCCTGCCGTAATTGAGTGCTGCCTCAGTGTTCACCTTCTGAGTTGTTTTGGGATATTGAGTTGAGAATTTGCCTTTTCATTTCTCTCTCTCCAGGGCCACAAGGGATGGGGTGGTGCTCCTGGAGCCCCAGGACCTCAGGGACCCAAAGTGAGTTATTGAACCCAATCCCAACTTTAAACTACCTATGACAAGCCATAAGGTTGGGAAGCAGTGCAAGGCCATTTCTGACATCATTATTTAACCAGGCTTCTTTGCCAGATGAATTCATCTGTTGCATTTGACGGATGCTGCTTTTCATTGCTCCGGTTGTGGAAGAATTCATGGTGGGAGGGGCTCCGTGGCCCCTTTTAAAAAACAGGGGGGAGGGCAAAAACAAGGAAACAAAGGGGAAAGAAAAGGCATCAGGGGACGGAACGTGCCAGTAAAAAGTATGCACTCATCCTGTTCACAGTTGATCAGTCTGTTACTATTAAAGAGTGCCTCTAAGGAAAACATGTTTCCTCTGATTTGATCATAATATGCAAGCTTCCAAATTGAACACAGTGTCATTTGTCTTCAGAGTTCTCTCCTTCCCCTTGTTGGAAAGAGCTGTGTCTTGCTGACAGCGCTAATCATAACTAGGCGGAAACTGGAAAGATGTCCAGGGTTTGGGGGAATGTTCTGAATAAGGTAACTAAAGGAAATGGCAAATATCTAATGATGTAAGATTAATCGTGGAATGCTATGTCTTATTTCTCTTTCTCAGGGCCCGACAGGAGCTCGTGGTGAGAACGGACGAACAGGTGCTGCTGGAGCCCCGGTAAGTGAAGTTTTCTTTCTCTACGCATAACTTCATCGAGACTTGGCAACTAGTTTACAAAAGTCTGTTGCTTATGTTGTGGTTCAGGTACTAACATCTAGAAGTAATGTGGAAGGGCTGCGTAGCACCGTGATCAGAATGTTGACAAGAATATAATATAAAATCAGTGCTTTCAAACTTGTAATATTATCAATATCATTTATATGTCTTATTTAAAAATCTGAAGGCTAGATTTCAAAATTTATTTTCACATAAGCTTAAAGTGGCCCTGTGAAGTAAACTGTGGCCTGTCTCACAGTGGTCTGCTTTTATGTTGAGTTTTGTTTCCAATCTGTGTTGCAGTAACTCGGCTCAAAGCTTTCCTGTCTGTAGGTTAGGGTAACGGGCATTTACCTCACCTCATGCCTAATTGATGTTATTCAGCTTGCTGCTTTATTATCTATTTGGTATTTCTAAAATAAATTGAATTTTGTGTCTCATTTTCTGTATCACAGTGTTTTGTGTAGTGACTGGCAACACTGAAAAAAAATGTTCACCATCTCAAGGAATTTTTTAAAAAAAATCGGTCACTTTTATTGCTCGTTGTTATTGGGGGCTTTGAACCGATCTATCTATGCTTCAAGTGTTTAATAGCGCAAGAGATTAACTGATGTCGACATTCCGTCTACTCTAGGGTATCGATGGTGCTCGAGGCAGAAATGGGAAGGATGGAGTACAAGGTCCTCGCGGTATGACAGGACCAGGGGTAAGTACTTGGTATCACTTTGGAAAAGAAGAATATTTGTAGACCAGTCCTGTGATGAAATTTTAAGGCAGAATTTTGTCATTTTTTGTTTCTTGAAACCTTTGTAGAGGTTCTTTAATCATTGTATGAGTTCATCCTCACTTGCACAGGTTGCCGTTTTGTGTTTCTGTACAACTGGCGTGCTCTCCCAGCAAGGCAATGAATATTTAGTCGTCAGTCTTTAATTGAGATTATAGGAGCCCACAGATATTGTTCTGCACAAGGTGTCTCACAGTGGGTGTAAACTTGTTTGATACTGCTGGTTTAGGTGGCTGGTTTGAAGTCCAGCTCCATCATGTAGCTTGGTTTGTTTCCAAAATCTTCTGTTTCTTTTATGTGTGAAGAAAAACATAGAATTTGACGATCTCTTATCAAAATTGTTTGTTTTCAGGGCCAACGTGGTCCCTCTGGAAGGTCTGGACCAGCTGGACCTCCAGGACCCCCAGGACCTGCCGGAGCACCCGTAAGTCAACTTGGCCACCTGAGTACAGACTGCTTTTTCTTTGCTCACTAGAATTATGTTATATTGTGTCCCAAGACCTCGGATTAAAAAAAAAAATTTGACTGGAGGTGGCGACTAATGTTAATAGATGCATGAAATTAAAATAGACAATAAATACAACCAATTGAAATTCAATACATCTTGCAGAACCACTTGCTTTGTATGCATTGGATATAATAGGTAGAGAGAGTTTACCCGCCTGACTGTCCAGTCACTATCCAAAGTCAAGTGCAAGACTTAAAATCCCTTCATTGGCCTTATGAGTCGGCCATATTGAATTGAAAGCGAGGTTAACATTTTTATTTTGAGAACGTGAGAATAAAAACAAAGCAGCAGGTTAATTTTGTTCTCAGTGATAAATAATTTGAAATGTGTGATTTGTTAAGACTTTATCTAAATGTTTAAGTAACTTTAAAAGGAAAAGTGAGGCAATGGAACCCAAAACAGTCTGGTACCGACCCATTTGAAAGGTTACATTGAATAAGATACATTCAGGGAACATGATTAAGAATGGATGCCTTGTGAATAAGGCCCATCGGGTCTTTACTGAGCATCTTTGCATGATGAATCCTTGGAACTTCTCTCCTGTGAATGACTAGCTTGTTGCATTGGTTATAAATGCTATTTAGCAAATTTATTTTTGAACGGTATACTTTCTTGTCAAGGATATAATGATGAAGCACTTTGCTTTAAACAAGCAGTCTTATACTTTTTCTATTTTTCCTCACAGGGAGCTCTCAGCTATTCCGGGGTGAGTCGTCTCATTTTTGTTCCCCTGTTTTTCTTATGATACTTTCAATGCAGGGGATTATGTATCAGTAGACAGTCTACCACAATACCCTGAGATTGTAAATGAAATCAAAGAATTTATTCAAATGCAAACTTAAACTCCAGGAAGTGTCTTGAATGAAATGTGCAGACCCCAAAGAAATATAAAAAGATGCAGTGTGAGTTTAACCATGGAGTTCATGTTAAAGTTGCATTTTTTTGGTTGCTCATTATGTGATTATTTTGGTCCATCTTTGCAGTATGCCTACGCTGGTTCATACGCCACTTCTCAAGTGGACAAGGGACCCAACCCATATGCTACTGTAAGCACTTTACGTCTTGGAGATTCTAGTTCTTGAGTCTTTAAGATTGCTCATAGTGTGAAATAGATCCCCTCCCAAATACCTATGCAAAGACACTGCAGGTTTGTGCCTATTCAACTGAAAAGCATTTGTGTGCACTTGGCATGATATACGTGAGAACCAGTGTGCACGTATAGTGTGTGGCATGCAGTGGACACCGCCGAGGGCACTCGGTCACAAGTCAACTGTTCCGATTCCAGCTGTGTCAGCATTGCAGGTTTCTTATTACAATGTGTTTCTTTGTCAATTTCTGTGTACTTCAACAGTCACTGTTGAACATCGGTGCATGTGCATCAGTGCACTTTTGATACATCTGTTACTTTTGAAAACTTCATTGCTGACTTGTAGTATTATGGAGACGATGCCACCATTGACGAGGATGACTATGAGGCCCGCATCATCCAGCTGAGGAATCGCATCGAGAGGCTGTTGCTACCCAACGGTGAGCCAGAGTATCCAGCCCGCTCCTGCAAGGATCTCTTCAGGTGCCACCCCATACTTCCAAGTGGTGAGTTGGTTAATGAGAAAAAAAATTGGAAAAAATAACTCAGATGCTCACTGGAGCCTTGCTGATGGCTTTAGTTATATTTCTTTGCTCTTTGTTGTGTAAATGCAGTATCTCACAGGTACAAATGCATTTCAGACCTTCGTCATGAGTAAACAAACTCATTTTGTTCAGTGACAGAAATGTCTACATTTAAATCCCATGCATTCGCTGAAAAATGTCAACAAATCAGCAGAGTCCTTGTGGAAATCAAAATACCTGTTTGTTGGACAAATGTTGCTTGTGAGCTCGGTAGGTTTTTAGTATTTTACATAAGGAATGACTTTGTGTGTATTTACTAATACAAGGCCCTGTTTATTTATGAAACACTTTACAATTTATTGATTTATTCCCCAGAATGCGCAGGTTGGCGTCTAAGTAAATAGTTTAGAGAAGATTCTTTTGTCCAAGAAATAAGCATGGTTAAAATTTTCCTGTGCTAAATCTTAGGTTATTACACCCTGGACCCCAGCGGAGGCTCTCCGTATGACAAATTTGTTGCTTACTGTGACAAGAAGACCAACGCCACCTGCATCTACCCAGATACCAAGGAGGTGAGACGCGCAGTCACGACATTTACCCGCTAAAATGAATCTTTTGCTTCTCCTCAGAACTCTTCGATTGATTAACAATCCTCATTCTAAAGGGAGGGCATTACTGATTTGACAAGTATTTGACAAGAAATTGCGGGGTTTTCTTAGCCTCAAGTCTGGAAAACTAGACATTTGGCAAATACACAGGCTTTTGAATACAATTAAAAGTCGGATGCATTTATTTTCCTGCATGTACTTGAAGAGAACACAGGAAATGAACAAAAATTTGGTCTCAAACCTCCACTTTCTGAAACAGGAACATGTGGATTCATTATCACGAATTTGAAGCATTAAGGCCCTTTTCATTGAGGAACAAGAACAAAGGCAACTTTCATGAATTCTTTCTTGTTTTGCTGTACCATTTGTTGTGCAATCTGCAGATTCCCAAAGCCACTTATTACCTTGGCGAACCTGAGGAGGTCGACTTCTCCAACATGAGGAATGGCTCTGAGGTGAGGCGATGATAATTGTTTTGCCTTGTTCAGGAACCATTTCATTGACAGATTATTTCTGGAGACGGTCAGGGAGAATTAAATTGCAACCTTCTTGTTTTGTGTTTTTGTTTTAGTGTTGTTTTTTGTTAACTACAGTAGTTTCTATGTAGAGTGATATTACATGTACATGTAGGTGAGGAGAGATAATTTCAAAGCTTTGGGAGTTCATTTGTTGCTCTGTGATCAAAGTTGATTTGTTTCTTTGTTATTTACCCAGGGGAACCCTTCATTGTAGTCAGATTTCCAAAGATGCTAAATTGAAATACAGGATCAAATTATAAAAATAATAAAATTACACACAAGTTTGCGTGGATAAAATTACACAAATAAGTCTTACATTTGCTCAGAACACTAAATATGCCCCCATCCCATTGTCAAATTGGACGAGCTAACATATCTAGGGGAAACATACATATTTTCATTTTTTTCATGCTTCTGAAATTGGAGATAAATGCTGGCCTGATGAGCTAGATTGACTTGAGACAGATTTGTTTTTTTTCTTCACACCATTCCTCACTTTGGGACAAATGTGTTCCTTAATGATGTTGATGTTGGGCCACCTTTTTACATGGTGTTGCCAACTGGGTGATCCGAAATCCATCATTCAATCCGTTTGTATCTGCAGATCAGTTACAGCGTCAAGCCCGTCCAGCTGACCCTCCTGCGACTCATCTACTCTCAGGCCAAGCAGAACCTCACCTATCACTGCAGGAATTCCCACGCCGTGGCCAACAAAGCCGGTAGCATGGTCAAAGCTCTGACCCTAGTGGGACCCAACGACGTGCGAATGAACATCAAGAACACCCGGAAAGACTTGCAGTATGAAGTGGAAGGAGAAGACGGGTGTCAGGTAAATAATAGGAATTAGGGGATTCTGCCTTAATTTCAAAACACCAAGATGTCAGTGGCGGTCATTTAGTCAAGATTTCTCGCAACATCATCGTTAAAAAAACTCTTAGACAATCAGTCAATCAATGACTGTTTATTAAAATATCCACCTTGAGCAACACAAGGCCGTATTGTCGGTGAATTTACAGTATCAAAATATTATAAATGATATATAAAACAAACTTATATCGTTAAATCAATGAAAAAGGCATCTTAATAAAAGTATTTATAAATTTACATGCATAAAAAGGGGCAAACAAGGAAAAAAAAAAGAAAAACAAAAAAAAGGAATTAAAAGGGCCACAAAAAAAAACCAATGAGACGTGACATTAAAACGTGACGGTAACAAAAAGAATCATACTGTTAATGATCAACACACATTTAAACAATGGACAAGGTGTGGTAAGTTGCTACTCTTCATCCTGTTGGTTTGACAGTGGAATTCAGGAATTTCAGCTTTGTGTCTGAGGGTCCAGACAACGGTGTCAGAAGGGAGGAAATCTGTGAACTGATCAGTTTTATTTAAAGATTTTTCCATAAATGAAACACAAAGGGAATTTCTACGGTCTTCCACATCATCATTTCATCATTTTCTTGTGTAAGAGGATCCAAACATTATCCCCACCGCACATTTCTGAATCCTCTCAATGCTGTGGAGTGATATTTGTTGTAACCACGGCCGCAGACTCTGCAGACTAGTTCAAACATCCGTGTGTAAAAATAGGCATGAGGATAAATGCCCCCCCCCACCGTACTGCATGCAGAATTTGCCTAGAATGCATTTGAACACCATGCTTGTCAGGACACAGGAGATGGAAGTGAGTGTGAAGTGATCAAGAGGCCGTTCAGTCGGTCGTACAAAGCTTCAACCAAATTGGTTGGGAGATGGAGGAATATATGCCTTGATGAGAGAGGAGGGCAGACCTCTTTATCTTCCCGTTTGGTCATGCCTCTGCTGTTGGCCTGCTTGTGGAGCCTCATAAAGTACAAACTATTTCAGAATCTATTCATTCCTTCGAGAGTACCTAAGCTACCTTGTTGATGGTGACACTTAACACCACTACCGCCATTGTTACTTTTTTTTTTTTTAAGTAGTTTTGTCTAAGCAAGATTTTTTATTGATTGACTCGCCCTCACTGGTGAGCAATTTTTCTAAGAAAAATTGTACCTTTAAAAAGATTTAAAAAAAAATTTTTTTTGGTTACTTGAGTAGGGCAAACATCGATTGTGACGTCTTGGGTTTTGTTTGTTTTGGGTTTTGTTAAGGTTGTAAAATATAGACCTGGCCATTTCAAATACCATTTTAATTTTTTTTTTTCAAATAAAAAACTTCTGAATTGACTTTTAAAGTTTGAGTTAAGTGGGAAAACATTGTAATTGAAATTTCATTATGACTTTTTAGAGAGAGTTTTTAAACATCAGTTGACTCCAACATTTCCAAAGCCTGATATCAATAAAATCAGGCTCCATTCCTAGCAGTGCCCATTTCTCCTGTTTGTGACATACCTCGTGAATCGTTTTGGATATGGATGTCTTCATAGCAAGAGACAGATTGCATCCGAGCAACTTCGCAAACAATATTTCCAAAGTCTATCTTCCTCTTGATTTCCTCAAATCTTTACCCACTGTCTTGGCAGGTACATGACAACACCTGGGGCAAGACCACCGTCTCCTTCACCACGAAGAAAACGGAACGTCTACCCTTGGTTGACTTTGCTGTGTCGGACGTGGGCAGAGCCAAGCAACAATTTGGGGTGGAAGTCGGCCCTGTCTGCTTCTCGTAGATAGACACCCACTACCAAGTGTTAACTCCATTGCAGTGTTAAGCTTAAGTTTTGCGAAACATTAGGATAAATAGCTCAAGCTCATCTGTCTGTTTACCTGGAGTTGCATTTTGTAATACTGCTTTCAAATCAGGAACGTCCAGTTTTTAAGCAGTTAAGACAGAGTTTTTAAGAGCAGTTTGCTTTAAATGTTTAAATGAAAGTTCATAGCTTTTATCAGTTAGTTCTTGAAAATATCATTTGAAAATAATTTCTCCTCTCACGGTTGCTTCTAACGATGTTCTAGACACACAGGGCATACTTTCTACACACTCATAGTGTAATAAAAAAATGAGTCAAGAAAACAAAAATAACGTCAATTTCTTTCAGGTGACTCGAAAGACTTCATCAGGAAAAAGTAAAATAGAATCTGTCCTTTTTTTTTCAAAACATTAAATAACCTGCTTCGGAATGAATTATTGTAAAGTTGTCCATTTTTATATTTTTTCTGAAGCAGTTTTCTTCAGGTTGGTCCTTTTGTAATCCAACTAACAAAACCGTTGGTTCTTATCCCCTTAGCCCCATATTGTTGCATGCATTGAACCAAATTTTTTCTTTCCTTGAACGTAAACAGAGAGAGAGACAGAGAGAGCAGCAGAAGGGAAAACTTTCTGAATATGGAGTAAAAACATCTGTCAACAGTGTTGTCTGCTGCCTATTATTTTGTCCATCCAAGATGTAAACGTTTCTGGTTTTGCATTTTTGTGGGTCACCCCTGTTTAAATGTTCCTGTTTAAATAGGGGGTGCAAAAACATGCCTCTGTTCTCTTTTCACTTTTCCAACCGTGAAGAAGGTGTTTATAACCTGCCTTATTTTTGGAAAATATATGTAAAAAAAATGTGCTTTGAAGTTAAGACCCCTCTTCAAGTATCGTAGGCAATTTTGAGACCTGTTTTTTTTCCTGTCATTTTCCAAATGAACATAACGTGGATTTCAAAAAGTAACATAAAACAGGTAAATTTCCAATTTTTAAAAAATTTTTGGAAGGTTGTGTTAGCTTTCTGAAACATTCTGTCTTGGAGACTCTGTTTCAGTGAAGAGAACATTGACTGTCTACTGTAGCATTCACATTACTTCAGTCCAGCACACATGTATTCTAAGCTTTGTTGTGTTCTGTCCCGTTTTTGTCTTCAGTTAATAAAGCTTCCCTATAACATGATGATATCAGTGAATATTCATTTTTTATCAGTGACTGCTGTCAAATATCCTAAAATTCTAGCGCCCTCAATTTCATTGCACCACACACAAAATATTGGTGATGTCATCATACAGAATATACTGCAGATAGTTTTAAAATATCTTTTAAAAGGGAAAGTGCAAGAAAACAGAAATGTTGGCCATCACAACCAGCTGTGCCCAAGCCAGCAGCGTTATTGGCTACACCACCAAGCTCTTCTCAAACCTGGGAGGTTATGAAGTATATCCTCTAATAACAGGAAATTTAAAATAATAGTAATGAAGTTTGATAAGATACTCAGGACCTCTTGCTTCCGAGTTAGCAGCTGTATCCACTACACCGCAGTACTCTGTTTTTGATACTGTCAAGAGGTTATTTTTAAACGATCTGATAGTAACTTACTCAAAATAACAGCAATGAACAATTGTTCTGAGGTTGAATTTGAACCCAGGACTTCTTCCTCTCAAGACAGCCATATCCACTAACCACCGAGTTGTACTTCCTGCTGGGAGGTTATGAAGTATTTTCTAAGGCTGGAATTCAAACCCAAGACCACTCAGTCCCTAGTCAGTCGCTGTATCCACTAGACCACAATGCTTTTTCTACTGAGAAGTCATGAGGTACATCTGAACATTCTAGTGTCAAGAAGATTATAATAGTAGTAATATTTTATGGCTGGATTGGAACCCAGGACCTCTTGTTCACATGTCAACAGCAGTATCCACTGGACCATTGTGATCTTTGTACTAGTGAGCACGGGTGTAATTCTGAGGGAGATAGGAGGTATATATCCACTTTTTAGGATGGGGGGTGGCTATTGAATCATTCTCCCCCCGGCCACACACACTTTTTGTGTTGAGCGAAATACTCTAGTGTATTGTGAAGAATTTTTCAGACTTATGACTAAAATGCATTCAATATCACTCAAAAAGGGAAAACAATTTTGAGAACAATGGTGCCCCCCCCCCCTTTTCAAATTTTCATGGCCCGGCAAGTCATCCCTTGAAGTACAGCATTTTTGTTAGCGTAATATTTTCCAGAGTGCGAATACTACGTTGACCGTACTAAAATGTCTTTTCATGAGTTTTGCGCACACTTAATTTTTATTTATTGAGATGGAAATGGAATTGCTGCAATGAATTTCATATACGGACTCCACTAATTTTTCGTATATGGAATTCTTTCAAAAAGATAACGTCCTGCCAGGGTTATTATTTAGGCCCCCCCGCGAACTTTAGCCTTTGATCAAGGCGCCTGCGGCGAAATGGATAGTCACTCAAGAGCGAGGATCGGCGCTAGACTAGTTTAAGCACCAAACCAACGCACGAAGAAAGGCTATACGGCGCCAAACTTGTTCGTGGGCTTGTTTGGCGCTTAAACTCGTCTCCTCCAGCTCCTAGCCTCGCAGTCGAGCAACTACCATTTCGCCGCAGGCGCCTTGATCAAAGGCTACCCAAACTTGAATTACCGGACCCGTCGCCGTGGTACGCTTTCCCGCAAATCACTGCGCATAACGCGCAAGATTTAGGTCAGTGGTTTAACGACAGCGCCCTCTCCATTACTACGTGTTTTTTTTTCAGAGCGTCACATTCAGAATCTGGCTGGATGCTTCGTCAAATAGTCGGCTGCATGGTTTGTTCTTCGCCAATTTTTTTCAGTGAAAATTTGAAAAGTCGTTTTAGGATTTTTTCTGTTTCATTTTCAGGATAGGTGAAAAAGAGACTGGGAATAGAATATTTATACCTGTCAGCGGGGACCCTTTTTGTATCGCCATAGACATTCTATTCCTGCTTCAAGTGTCATTTTGTTTAGGAAATGGATCACCTGTCCTGTTAATGCCTGTGCCCCGTTTTGTTGTTTTTTTATGCGGGAATTAAAACCTAATTTAACTTGTAGTCTGTTGTCTCAGTTTTGGATGTTGTCCCATTTCCAGTGACCTACTTTTTGACAACATGGGATTTTAACTTTTTATCTGCTTTTTGGGGTTGGCATTTTTACTCTGGCTAGACCTACTCCTGATATCGATAAATGTTAGGCCTACTTACTTGCTGCCTGAGTTTATGCTTCACCTGTATGACTATCGCTCTGTTTTCCTTTCCCGGGAAGAGTTCCATATACGGACGCCAGTAATTCATCCGTGCAGTGACTAAATAGCCACCAGAATGCAAAAACATCCAGAAAAGTTCAATTTAGGAGGGGAAAACCACATAGTTTAAAACACTCAGAATTTTGAGTCCGACAGGGTTTGTGCACAACATGTCAAGTGGTGTCGTATATGAAACTCTTTCCCTTCTCCTTTTTTCACCTCCCTTTTTGTAGCCTTTCTTCTTTCCCTCTCTCTTGCTGACTTTTTTCAATCCCTTCCACCTCTCTCCCCCATGACCTCACTCTATCCTTTTCCCATAATTCTGCCATGGAACCTTCCTCGTGCAATATTTGTTTCTCCAGATCAAGTCCTTGTGTAGGATTGGAGAGACCTGCCCCATTGGGGACAGTGTTTTGTTTCAATTTTGTTTTTATCCTTGGCAGTCCTACACTGTACTTGCATTTTCCCTGCGATGTGTCTTTCCGTGGTTTTTCACTGTTTTTTATTATGCTATGTTATGTTTATATCTGGTATGTGTAATTACATTATCCATGCCGAATAAAGTAGGGCCTTATTATTATTTTTCTAGTTTGTTGGGGTTGATGTAGCTCAGCTGCTGCTGGTTTTTCTTGTGCTGCCTGCTTGAAAAATGGGGCTCCCCACGAATACCCCCGCCAGACATTTAGTCCTTGTTACACCTCTGGCTTGAGTCATAGAGCAAGGATTACAAAAGAGCATTGTGGCTGTGTTATGGTTGTGTCTGATTTCAAGCTGCAGCCAAGTGATTCAGAAGCAGCCACTTGGAAGTGTCTCTCACTGAAATTTAGAGATGAAACCTCCTACTGCTCAGCCCAACTACATTTATAGGGCAACAAAATACTGGAGGCCACAGTCCGAGTTGGATACCATTTCCTTGCAGCTATGAACAGTACCCCTAGAAGCTGACGAACCCCATATGCACTACTTAATTAATAAGGCCATAGTTCTAGGGGTACCCATAAACCATACTGTCCAAGACTTTGTTGCAAAATGTGTATCTTTACATGTCCATATTACATGATATATTTTTGCAACAATCAATCTTGGCCCAGAGTGAGCCAGCAGTTCCAACATTTGGATGTAATTCAGTCTGATCAATCTACACTGGGTAGTTGGTACATGGATGGCTTCAAGCAAGATTATCATGTCCTTCAGAACCAACCCTTGGAATTCCCAAGTTGACTTGAGAATGTGTTTGTTCCAGTTTCAAAGCTGTGTTCTTGACCTGGATGACTGGTGTCAATCCTGAACATGTACAAGGTCTGAAATTACATTTGAAGGCTGCACCGATTTCACACGACATTGCAGGAGTTGGCCAGAGACCAGCTGTATCCTCGCAATTTGTACGTGATTTGTGGGGCACCAACTACAGTTTGTGTTGGCCTTGTAAAAGTTACAAATAGGTTTTCTTTGGACTGTTGGAGACTGAAGCAAAGAAACTATGTGAGTTTCAAATATTCTGTCCATGCTTGCTATTGTAGACCCAACAAAGTAATTGCAGGTTAAAGATTCATTTGCAGTCCTTTTGGAACATATCTCCAGTCTACTTTTTTCCACTCATTATTAAATTTCTTATTTAATATCTTGTCTGGAATTACATGTGTCTTCACCTTCCGGGAAACCTTTGTTTCTCAAGATGTTTTAAAGATGGTAGTCATTTTGTGGAGGACACACAGAAATGCATGTGGAATTCTTAGTAGGGACAAGTTTTTTAACCCTTACCCTACATAATACTAAAAATCACTACTTAGTAGTAAAATGTAGCATATAACTATAGTGCTGTCGCTTGTATGAAGAAATGACCTAATATAACTGTTGTCTGAAGGCATGAAATACAACAGATAAGACAATGTACCATTCGATGCTGTGACTTTATTCTCTGTACTAGCAACAATGTAAGTGCCCTAGCCAGAAGTAGTAATTTTGGGTTAGGTCCTTCAGGCTCAGACTGCTACGTAGTATTTTGTAGTACTGACGAGTCTTGTAAGCCAAATGATATGCCAGGTGGCAAGGGTTAATGTAATATTAGAAGAACGTGTCTCAAAAGTTGGGAAGACCTTCCATTTTCAACTCCCCTCACATATAGATCCAGAAGACTAAGTTGAAAATGTAGAAACCCTTGAGCAATTCTGGGATGAAGTAATGGGGGTTAACACCTCTTTACAACACTTCTTAACTCTGGCTGTTCTCCATGGACATGTGGTGAATTGGTGGCTGCCTATTAGGCACGTAGTATGCTATAACTGAGCCACGTAGTGACCTTAGTGTTAAGTGTTAAGACAGATTGTGCTTTTAAAAAAACCAGCCCAGTCACCAGCTTAGGGTAGTGGGAGGCTACAGCACCAGCAAGGGGGGTACATCACCAGAAAAATGGATGATTTTGATGCTTATGGATTTTTGCCGATGGAGGGGCCAACTGCTAGGGGAGGGAGGAGACTGGCCGGTCCATTCAGGCCCCCCATCCCCACTCTAGTCTTGGGCCTGGCCACGTACAACCGTGCAACACTGAAAGATGTAAGTGGTCGGCTCTGTCTCAGTCAACTCAAATGGAAATACATGTATTGAATTTGAAACATGACTTGTGTGTTGGTCTAGTTTGTTTTTTGTAATTCTTGTGTATGTGAATGTATTTTGTACACTCTCCGTGGTTTTGGCCATTCGGCTTCAAATTTCTCAATTTTATACATGTATGAAAATGGACTACATTCATTGGAATCCAGAGGTCACTCAGTGTGCGTAGTGTGCAGAAAAGGATACCAGAGGTTTGTGCAAATTAAAAAGTTCCGATAAGTCTGACTTGAATGGTTCTATGAAGTAGACCACAACTTTCCTTCTACTTTTCTGTGCAGAATCTGTCGGA